CGCCCGTCCCGTCGGCCCTGCGCTCGTCCCGCCGGCCTGGTACCCGCTGCTCCTGGCCCCCGCACTGCACCGCGCTGCACCGCACTGCACCACGCTGCACCGCATTGCACCGCACTGTACCGCACAGTACAGCCCTGCACTGCTCCTGATGGCGGCGGAGCTTCGCTTCGACGCTGAAGGCCAGCCACTGGAGTTCAAAGCGTGGCTCGCCGACCTCCGCCGTCACCTCACTTGCCAGCGGCAGGATGGCCACCCGCTTTCCGCCCACCTTGACGGTATGCTCCCCTGCCCTGAGCGCGAGTCAACTGCAGCCCTTGCCCTTGCGCGCTCTGTCTGGCTTTCCCGAGACGCTGTCGCCCAGCTTGCCATTAGCAATGCCCTTCCCCCTGTCTGAGCGCCCTCGCTTTAGGTCCATCACTACCGCCCAGGCTTTCTTAGATGCTGTCATCAAGCGCTATTCCACCCCTCCTGCTGCCTCAGTGGGTCGCCTGATCCTCCCGATGCTCTTTCTTGACCTTGCGTCTTTCCCCACTGTCGCTGACCTGGCTGCCCACCTGCGCACGATAGATGAGACCTGGCGCGCTGCCTACACTGACGCACAGCTTAGAGCCCACCAGCCGCCCATTACCTCTACCCTCTACCTGCTTGCCACCCGCCTCCCTGACCGCCTTGCCGCCGCCCGCGACCGCTTCCTTAGCATTCACCCCGGTGACCTCACCCTCACCGACTTTGTAGACGACCTGACTGTTATTGAGACCCGCCACCGCTCCATCGCCCAGGCGAGCGGTATTGTGCCGGTCCCTATCTTTCAGGGTTGTGCCCCCGCTCAGTGTACCTTCTCCGACGGTTCTGCCGCTGTGGCTGAGACTGCTGCTGCAGCGCAGTTCCGTTTGGGGAAGGGCCGCCGCCCCAAGGCCGGGCGCGGCAGAGGAGGAGGGGGTGCAGGTGGGGGTGGTGGTGGAGTCGGATCGTCTGGTGTTGGAGCGGACAAGAGGACCCTGCCCGGTCCAGCTGAGCAGCCGCCTCCGCAGTCGAAGAAGCAACAGCAGCAGCCGCCGCAGTCGCGGCAGGCGAGTGTCCTCCCGCCCGGGTGGCCTGGCGCTGGTCATGGTCATGCGCGTGGTGGTGTGCCGGGTGGTGGTTCGGGAGGCATGCGTTGTCAGTACCAGATCCAGACCGGTCCTCGCCGCGGCTTCGTTTGCGATAAGCTCGGTCATACCACTCCTCGCTGTTTTCGTCGCCTGGATGACCTGTTTTGTCAGCGCTTCAGCCCGTCGCCAGACCTCCCAGACTGGCACACTTTGCTTAGTCGTAGGATTCAGATTTTTTACATGGACATGGATGCCATTGTTTCTGCTCTGCATGTGATGTATGCTGATGAATCTAGTGTGCTTCCCACTTATTACTCATTGTCATCTAGTGTAGGTGTGCCTGGCTTAGCCTCCCCTGCTGCGTCAGGCGTAGGAGCCCCTGCTTTGTTTAGCCTTGGTGCTTCCGCCGTCGCCCCGTCGTCGGTCGCCACTGCTTCGCTTTCCTTCACCTTGGATTCTGACGCTTCCCGGTGCTTCTTCCGCGACTTCACAACACTGACGCCGCTTCCTGTTCCTGTTGCCGTTTCTCTTGCTGACCCCTCCGGCGGTCCGGTAGTCGCCCGCAGTTCACAGGTCTGCATATCCCCTCGTTCTCCCGGAACCTAGTTGGTGTCGGCTGCCTCCAGGACCTTAGCGTCACCACTACGTTCCCTGGTCACGAGCGGTATGCTGTCTGTACCGAGGCCGCCACTGGTGCCCCCCTGTCCACGTTCCCCCGGGACCCGGTGTTCGGCCTGTTCACCCTGGACACCGTGACCCCCCCAGCTGGGGCGCCCCTTCAGGTGGCTGCGTCTACGGAGGTTGCTGCTGCCTGCTCCTGTCGGTCCCTCACTCACCCGACTCTCCTTAGGCATCACCGCCTAGGTCACCCTGCGCTCCCGCGTCTGCGTCACATGTCCCAGCACGGTCTCATCCTTGGTCTCCCTGGTTCTCTCCCCGCTTTTCCCTCCTCCCCCGCCCCACCTTGCACGCCTTGCGTCAAGGGTCGGCTTCGCCGTGCCCCTCACTCCTCCTCATTTCCCCCTACCGCCGCGCCGCTGCAGACCCTGCACATGGACGTCTGGGGCCCCGCCCCCGTTCATGGGCCGCGTCGAGAGCGCTACTTCCTCGTGCTTGTCGACGACTTCACTCACTACACCGCAGTCTTTCCCCTGGAGCGGAAGGCCGACGTGCCTGGCTTGTCTCTGCCCGTGTCCACCGAGGTCTCCCTGTCTTGCGTCTTCACTCCGACCGTGGTGGCGAGTTTGCCTCAGGTGTCCTTGGTCGCTTCTGTCGTGCGGAGGGCATCACCCAGATGTTCACCCTGCCGGACTCCCCACAGCAGAATGGGGTCGCTGAGCGACGCATCGGTTTGGTCATGGAGGTGGATCGCACCTCCATGATCCATGCCGGTGCACCCCATTTTCTGTGGCCGTTCGCCGTCCGCTACGCTTCTCACCAGCTTAACCTGTGGCCGCACCCCCAGCAGCCGCAGGTTTCGCCGACCCGTCTTTGGACCGGGTCTCCTGGTGACGCGTCTGCGTTCCACGTCTGGGCTGCCTTGCTCACGTTCGTGCCTCCGGCACGGACAAGCTCACTGCCCGCACCCTTCCCTGCATCTTCCTCGGTTTTCCCCTTGACGCGTCGGACTGGCACTTCTACCATCCGCCGTCTTACCGCTTCTTTCACTCTCGCGACGTCACCTTTGATGAGTCCGTCTCCTTCTACCGTCGCTTCCCCCACCGTGGTCCCCCGGTTACCCCCCCCCTATTCCTGGTCACTCCTTCCCCGGTGGTCCCTGCCCCCCCCCTCCCCGTCCTGCCCCCTCTGGTGTGCCCCACGTCACCCCTCTTCTGTCGGTGGACCCGGTTGAGGAGTCTTCTGACTCTGGTGGTCCTGCGGTGCAGTCCTCGCCAGCTGCCCCTCCCCAGGCGTCCCCTCTTCCACCGCCTCTGCCGCCGCCGTCGCCTCTGCTGTCGTAGCCGTCGTCACCTCCGCCGCCGCCGCCGCACCCGTCGTTGTCGCTGCCGCCGCCGCCGTCGCAGCAGCAGTTCGTTGACTCTGGGGGTGCTGGCGTGGAGTGTGCCGTTGGTAGCCGAGGAGCAGCTTGCGGTCCCGGTGTCGGCGTTGTGCCCGCCGCAGCAGCAGTCCCCGCCGGTGTCAGCGCTTCGCCTGCTCGACCTTCCGTCCCCTGACCCTGCGTCTGTTCCTCTCCTGCCGTCTCCTCCTCTTCCCGTCTACGGCCTGGTGTTCCCTCCGCCGGACTCGTCCCCGGCTCGTCTTCCCCCTTGTTCCCCCCTGTGTCCCCTCCCCTGTCTCCTGACCCGACTCCTCCGTCCCACGTCTGGTCTCACCGTCCCTCCCGTGCTCGTCCTGTCTCCCCTGTCTTGCGCTCTCACCCTATGTTGCTTCGTTCCCACGCGTCTCGTCCTCCCCTTCTCCCGTCGCCTCCTCCGTCCTCCCTTATCGTTGCACCCCCCCCTCTGTCTGACTACTTTCGTGCCGCTCGTCCTCTTGTTCCTCGGGTCCTTGCCTTTCTCGTTATCGACCCGTCCGTTCCGGTTTCGAGCCTTGACGCCCTTGTCGCTGCGGTCGCTGATTTTGCATCTACCCGCCGCCATGACTACGCCACAGCTCTGGTCCCTGACCCTGCCTGTCCTCCGTCTGTCGGAGGTGCTCCTGCCCTCGGCAGTGACGTCCTGGAGGACCGCCAGTTCGAGCTTGCTTTCCTGTCCGAGGCTGCTCCCCATCTCTGTTCCATGCTGCTAGTCCCTGAGGGTGACCCAGACGCTTTCGACATCCCGACCCCTCGCACTTACGCTGAGGCGACCTCAGGACCTTGGGCCTCGCAGTGAATAGCTGCCATGGAGCAGGAGATGGCATCTTGGAGATCCACCGGCACCTTCGTCGACGCAGTTCCCCCGCCTGGGGTGAACGTAGTCGATGGCCGCTGGCTCTTCAAGGTGAAGCGCCCTCCTGGAGAGCCGCCTGTGTTCAAGGCGCGCTACGTGGCTAGAGGTTTCAGGTCTTCCCAGGGCTACTGCTTTAGCCTTGGTTCAGGTGCCGTCTCGTGGAGAGCTACCCGCTCCTCGTCTGTTGCCCAGTCCAGCTGTGAGGCCGAGATCTACGCCGGTGCCATGGCGGCACAGGAGCTCCGCTGGCTGACCTTCTTGCTCACTGACCTAGGTGAGCGGCCTAGCTCTGCCCCTGTCCTGTACGCTGACAACAGGGCCATGATCCTCGTATGTCAGGAGCCTCGACTCGAGGGCAGAGCGAAGCATATCCAACTGCGGTACTTCTTCTTGCGCGAGCTACAGCAGCGCCGCCAGGCTCGCGTAGTACACTTGGCCTCAGGTGCCAACACAGCTGATATCTTTACAAAGGCGCTTGCTCCTAAAGATCATCAGCGGCACTGTTTACAGCTTGGTCTAGTTCCCGTAGCCTCTCACTTGCTAGGGCCTTGACTTTGTACTTATTGTTACTCAGACTAGACTTGTGTCCTCTCCCAGTGGCTGGAGTAGTAGTGCCGCCCTGGTCGTGTTCTTGCCTTGCCTGTACTCGTTTTGACTGGTCTTTAGACCCTTGTCTCAGTGGCTGGACTAGTAGTGCCGCCCTGAGCTGCTTGTTCAGGAACTGCCCCTATGCAGTCTAGGGGGGGTGTCCAACATGTGTAATCTGTAATGTTTGTATAGACTGTATAGGGTCACCTCTTAGTGGGTACAACCCTTAGATATATTTCCTTGTACACAGGTTCTCTACTCAATTCATTCAGTTTTAAGAGTTTGCTTTTTGTTCTGGTTTTAAAGGTGGGAGCTGTCAGAGTGCTGTGCTGAGCCACCGTTTCTTTGCCCATCATACGCCTCGCATTACAGGCACTCGAGAGCAGGAGCTTTGACTCATGCGTGTTTCCGCCCGGGCTGTGTGGCATGGTGATGTTCGTATCCTTTATCCTTCGTATTAGTTTAGACACAGCAATGGTAAAACTGCCTAATCAAAATCGGTGTTCTTAATTTAGATTGACAAAAAACGTGTGCGCTTCGATCATGCCGTCCCCCACTCCCTCGTCACTGCAGTATCCCCATGCAAGCACATGGATTCAGTCCACTCCAAAAGCTTTCAAAAAACTGTCCCTAAACACATCACTCCACTGCACTCACAAGCAAACGCCAGGAAGAGCCCCTCCTCATTGCGGTCCAGCTGCAAATGGCCCCGCCTCCTCCTCGTGCATGTAGGTATAGCACGTCACCCACTCCAATCGCCCCCCCCAGCCGCACCCCCATAAAGTACTTGCCGAAGTAACCACAGTGCGCAGCCTTTGAGTCGGTTCGACTCCAAAGCTCACTCACTCGCGGGGAAACACGAGGAAGAGCCCCTCCTTGTTGCAGTCCACCCGCAGGTTGTCGTCCGTATAGCACATCACCCACCCACTCGCCCCCTCCTGCCGTCCACTGCTTTGACTCAGAGGCTCGCTCACTCACTCGCGGGCAAACACCAGGAAGAGCCCCTCCTCATTGCAGTCCACCCGCAGGTCATCGTCCACATAGCACGTCACCCACTCGCCACCCGCTGCCGTGGCGGCACGCGCTGCCACCGCCCTCTGGATAGGCGGGGGCACAGGGAGAGTGAGTGTGAGCAGGGGCAGGTCAGCAGAGGGAATGCTGTTGCCCCAGACTTCCAAAGGCTGCAGTGAGAGGGAGGAGAAGGAGGTTAACAACCCTGCCAGCTGACCATGCCCCTGCTGCTGCTGCTGCTGCTGCTGCTGCTGCTGTTGCTGGGGTTCTTGAGAAGAGGAGGAGAAAGAGGGCGAGTTGGAGGAGTAGCCTAGGGAGAGACGAAACTTGCCCAGGGCACCAAGCTTTAAGTCCACATACTCTCTGGATATAACAACTGAAGAATCACCAGAACCTGCTCCTCCTCCTCCTCCACCTCCACTCACCGCATCCCCCCCAGCGGTACCATCTCCTTCACCCTCCTGCACTCCCCTCCCATCCCTACCCCCCCCTCCCCCTCCTCCTCCCCCTGTGCCAGTCAGAAAACCGCCAGAATCGGATCCGATTTGCTGAGTCAGCCGCGCAATCTCCACTCCTGGCAATTCTGCCGCCCGAAGCAGCAGCTGCATGGGTGAGAGTGGAATGGTTGGCAGGGGAGGCGGATCCGTGGATGGAGGAGGCTCTGGGTCGGATGAAGAGTAGCTGACGGGGGGATGGGAGGGAGGGCATGGTGGTGGTGAGTCTTCCATTGAGTCGACTCAAAAGCAAATGAAGAATAGTTAATGGGGGGATGAAAGGAGGGGATGGTCGGGATGACATGTTGAAGGAGGTGAGAGAGGGAAGAGAAGGTTTTAGAAAGAAAGAGAAAGACAGAGGGGAAGTGAGGAAAGGGGGAGAGCGAGAGGGGGCAAGAGAGGGCAAGAGAGGGAAAGAGAGAGGGGTAGAAGGGAGAGGAGCAAGGGGAGACAGAGAAGCAAGGACCACTTGAGAGAGACACGGTTGTGCCACTGTTTGCGTGTGAGTGATGTGGAGTGGTGATGGTGGATTGGCGCAGTGACAAAAGTCCTTGTCTACTCAAGCCGACATGCAAATCATCACAACAAGCCAACAACAAGCCAATAACACCACTCACATCAGCACCCACGATCCTTGCGTTAGCGGAACACCTCTGCCACCATCACCATCCCAAGCATCGCTCTCCACCCACTCCTGCACCGCCCCTCCCTTCCCCTGCATGTCAACCACCACCCCCACACTCTCCTCCTCCACCCACCCCCTCTCCCCCCCTGCGAGGAACCCGATCGGCGGGCCCAGCTGGCACAGCTGCAGCAGCAGGTCCTCCACCTCCCGGCGCTCGGCAGACGTGGTGGACGAGGGGGGCATGCCTGGCCGCAGGGCGCGCTGGGACAACGAGGCAAGCAAGTGGGACACAGGAGGACAGGACAGGGAATGGGTCAAGGCACAGCTAGCACAGCTGGCACAACGGGCCCAGCTAGCACAGCTGCAGCAGCAGGTCCTCCACCTCCCGGCGCTTGGCAGACGTGGTGGACGAGGGGGGCATACCTGGCCGCAGGGCGCGCTGGGACAACGAGGCAAGCAAGTGGGACACAGGAGGACAGGACAGGGAATGGGTCAAGGCACAGCTGGCACAACGGGCCCAGCTAGCACAGCTGCAGCAGCAGGTCCTCCACCTCCCTGCGCTCGGCAGACGTGGTGGAGGAAGGGGGCATGCCTGGCCGCAGGGCACGCTGGGGAATGATGAGACAGTGAGACAAGGGGGAGCGAGCAAGTGGGAAGCAGGGGGAAAGAGAACGTGGCAAATGGGGCAAATGGGGCAAGGGAAGTTGTGAGCAGCCGGTCCTCCACCTCCCCCAGCTCGGCGGATCTGGTGGGAGAAGGGGGCCACGCCGGGCCTCAAGGCGAACTGGAAGGGCAAGAAAGGTGATGAGGCACATGGGGCAGATGGGGCAAGGAAAGTTCGTAGCGGCAGGTCCTCCACATTCCTGCGGCGCACAGACATGGTGGACGAGGGGGGCACACCTGGGCTCAAGGCGCGCAGGAAGTGGGGATGAGGGGGGAATGTGGCAGGAGGGGCTGGCTGGCGCCTAAAGTTAATGGTACCGGGGTCCCTCCCTGGACTCCGCTGCTGTGGTGGAGGACGGGGGACTGGGGGAGATGGGAGAGGACGGGGGGACGTGACGATGAGGGCTGTGGGATGCGAGTAGTTTGAGGGATGCGAGCAGCCGTTGGGAGGGGGGGAATGGGTGAGGGGGGCCAGGGGTTGAGGACAAGGGAGGCTGCTTCCCAGTGGTTTCAGCAAGTCAATGACAAGCAGCGGGATCCGGTATGCAAGGAAGGCATCCTATCCGCCTACTTCCACTGCACAGCACCGTGTGATGTGAAATGAGCGGCCCTACCTCGCTGAGCGCCGCCACCTCATCCCTGAGCTCCGCCTTGAACTCGATCCGCCTCAGCTCCTGCTGCACCCCCAGCAACCCTAACTGGGGACCGGAGGCATCTCAAAACTACGAACGACCGTACCTCACCGAGAGCAGCCAGCTCGTCCCTGAGCTCCGCCTTGAGCTCGATTCGCCTCAGCTCCCGCCGCACCCGCAGCGCCCGCTGCTGCCGCACCTCCTCCTCCTCGTCCTCCTCCCACTCGCCCTTGCCTCCTCCCGGCCTGCTGCTGCTGCTGCTGCCGCCATCGGAGCCCCTGTTGTGGGGAAGGGTTGATACATGGGAAAGAAGAGAGGAGAGGAGAGGAGAGGAGAGGAGAGTAAGCGTATGGCAGGTACGTGAGCTGCTTTTAAGCCCGATTAGTGTGGTTTTTATACTTCTCTCACAACAGGGGATGGGTTGTGCAAAGTGGAGCGTCTGTGTGGTGCCGGGGTGAGTGGGAGGGGGAGGTGGATGGATGTTGTTGCCAGCGCAGCCCAGTAGTGATTAACTTGTGATGTTAGGGCAGTACTGGATAAATCTGCACTGCACAAATGGGCAGAATGGCTCAATGGGAGCTGAGAAACCCACCATGGGAAGAGATTCCGACCCTGCATTTGCCTGGTTGTGCCCCACAGAAGCGGCGGCACCATCATAAGCATCAGCATCAACACCAGCAGCAGCAGCATAATCAGCAGCAGCACCACCACCAGAGGGGGGTCCACACAGGACACAGAGACGAAGGGGAAGCAAATAATCAGGGTGAATACAGAGAGGAACAGGGAGAAAGGTAGCGCAAGGAAGGGGAGGTTTAGGAGGATAGAGAATGCGGGTGCTGACGGCCAGGTGAGAAGCACAGCACACTGAGTGCATCACAGGTGTGGGTGTGCTCGTGCAGATGAGCATGTGAGTGCGCAAGGGAGAGGGCAGGTGCGTGTGTGTGTGTGCAAGGGAGAGGGCACGCACCACCACATGCCAGCGGCGACAATGGGAGCAAAGATGGCCAGCCGCTGCACGTGGGAGAACACAGTCGACAGCTCAAACGCCAGGAACTAGGGTGAGGGAAAACAAGGGGTTCGTGGGTAACGGGTTTGAGGGGGTTCGAGGGGGGTTGAGGGATTCAAAGGTGGGAAATGAATATGGGCGCATGAACACAGTGGACAAGTCAAATGCTAGGAAAATCACGGGGGGTTGGGGGAGGAGGGGGGGAAGAGGGAAAGGGAGGGGGAGGCGTATGGGCAATGGAGGATGGGGGGCAACCGCCTTGGTATTGCAGTGCAGTGCAGTGCAGTGCAGGCAACAGGCAGTGCAGGAGTGAATGTGTGAATGTGTGGGCCGTTGGTTGTGTGATGAGTCGCCAAAAGATCAGGTCCTTACAGGCAGAGACGAAAGTACAGATGTATAAAAAGACCTTAGACATGGAAAGCGAGGGAGGTAGACAGACAAATCCGCCGAACAACACTGTCCAAGACGGACTCTCCCTTGCTCTCTCTCTTCCTATCCCCCCTCCCCATCCACCAAACCAAAACACCCCCCTCCCTCCCTCCTACCTCTCCTCGTCTCCTAACCCCAAATGGAAACCTGTGACTTGCCAAATCGGCCCCTCTCAGCACCTCGCACCATTACACCACCTCACACCCCTCCTCACCTTATCAAATGCACCCTCCACAATCCCAGTGGCCGCCACAGAAGACACCTCCCCCTCCGCTGCTAGGGAGAAGCGAGATATCTGGGGGCGTGGGGGACAGACGGCGGGGCCACATGGGTGCAGGGAGGTGGCGGAAGGCGGTTGGGGTGGTGGTGGTGGTGGTGGTGGTGGTGGTGGTGGTGGTAGGGAAAAGAGGGGACAAGTAAGGGCCGGATGGGGGAGGAGGGGGGTGGAGGGGGATGGAGGGGGCGAAGAGAAAGAGAAGGAGTGGAAGGTAGAGGTGGAAGTGGGGGCAAGGGGGAAAGAAAGTTCTAGACACTCTAAAAGGAACTTATCGCAAGATAGAATTGGTGAGAGGATGAGAGGGATCAGGCAATGTGTGCTGTGATCGATAAAAAGTAGCAGCGACTACCAATCAACTGACGAGCAATTCTCAAAGTCGAGACACGCAGGAAAAAACGGCGGTCAAGCGACAACAATAAAAGGCTCAAATTATCACCAGCAAGTGACAACAGTCTAGGAGCAGCACACACACATAAGAGGCCCTCTTTGAGGCCCTAAACCCTGAGGCGGCTAAAAAAAATTGTAACAACAGCAGCCAAGGCGTGCACGGAGGCAGCACGTACATTAGAGGCTGCATCGCTGACTGCGTCCACAATGTACTCCCCAATGCGCTCCAGATTAAAGCCTGCCTCCTGGCAAACGATGGAGGCAGAGCAGAGGAGAGCGAGGCATGGGAGGAGCGAGGAGTGGGCGGAGAGTGGGAAGTGAGGAGAGGGAATGAGACGGAAGGCAGGAATCGGAGAGCGGAAGATGGGAGAAAGACACACGAGCGAAGGGGCAACGAAGGGGCAGTTAAGGGGCAGTGAAGGGGCAGTGAAGGGGTAGTAAAGGGGCAACGAAGTTGCAGCGAAGGGACATACATACGTGGAGTGGAGGAAAGGTGCGCTGGGTTGGCAGACATAAAGAATGATGCAAGCAAGGCCACGCTAGGGAGAGCAAGGGGGCGCTAGGGCGAGCAAGGGGACTAAGGCACGGCGAGAAAACGCAGGGAATCCAAGGGCGTGGGAATGAAGGAATGAGTTACCCTCTGCTCGGCGTCCAGCACAGCCTTGACCTGCGCATCCACCACATCTGACGTCACCTGGTGAGATGGTCACACACAAGACACCCGAGACAGACAAGGCAGACAAGTCACACAGGCAGGCAGGGAGGCAGGCAGGCAGGCAGGCGGGCGGGAGGGCGGGCAGGGAGGCGGGCAGGCAGGCAGGCAGGCAGCACACGACGTGACTTTTGAGCAGAGTCAGAAGTGACCTGCGCATCCACCACTATATGCTGGTGAGAGCGGATGGGATGGGATGGGCATAGATGCGACAGGCAAGACAGGCGGGCCGCACAGGAAGTCTGCGAGACAGGCCAATCACCACCAATGAGGAGGCAGTGGGGTGAGGTGAGGGACCAACGAACCATGCAGCGATCACCCCATGCCATGCCATGGCATGCCACGCCAACCCACTTCATCCCTTCCTTTCCCAATCCCTAAAGCATGATGCAGCATGGCATGTCATGGCATGGCACAGCATGGCATGACATGGCACAGCATGGCATGGCACAGCATGGCATTGCATGGCATTGCATGGCACAGCATGGCACAGCATGGCACAGCATGGCATGGCATGGCACAGCATGGCATGGCATGGCACAGCATGGCATTGCATGGCATGGCATGGCATGGCACAGCATGGCATCGCACAGCATGGCATTGCATGGCATGGCATGGCATGTCATGTCACAGCATGGCATGTCAAGGCGTGCGGCGCTCACCAGAGGGCCTGTCCACACGGTGATGACCTTGTCCAGCGCCTGGGAGCAGGGAGGAGGGAGGGGGGCGGTGGGGCAGTGGGGCATTGGGAGAAGGGGGGGAGGAGGGGAGGGGGCAATGGGGGAGTGGGGGGAAAGATCTTCGGACATAGTTCCCAGAAGAGCACCGGACTGTCTTAAGATCTGTCAGCACCCACCCATCAGACCAGAGGGCCTGTCCGCACGGTGATGATAACCTTGTGCAGCGCCCGGGAGCAGGGAGGGGGGCAGTGGGGGGCAGTGGGGGGATGGGAGGGAAGGGGGGAGGAGGGGGGGGAGACGAAGAATATAGTGGAGAGCGTGTACAGGAGCCGAATGGAAGGGGAGGGGGAGTATTGTTGCAAGGAGAAGGAGCGGGGGCGGAGTGGGGAGAGGAGCAGGGGAACGAGAGCAGGGAGAAGGGACGGGAGGTTAGGGGAAGGGAAGGAGATGAGACAGAGAGGGTGGGAGTCGAACGCCTATACGACGAGCGCCTTACCTTGGTGACTATCCTGGGGTGGCCACGGAGACAGACATACGGATGCAGCTCCTCACCCCCGAGACCATGGCCTTCCAGGCGGGACACCTAAGCGGCCCAACGGACGGAACTAGCATGCCGGCGAGAAGTCGGCCGTTGCAGGGAAACTCGCGGCCAACTACCGACAGCGGTGGTCGGTAACAACCCTACAGCGGCAGCAGATGTGGTGTTGGCCTTGCGCTTGCACGCCAAGGTCAACCTCTGCAGCACCGAGCCGAGGGGGCATCCCACGCTGCCGACGTGCCTACGAGCCCCTGGAGGAGGAGCCACTTACCACGGGAAAGCTTGAAGAGGAGCCACTTGCCCCTTCAAGACGTAAAGCGGATACTCCAGGCGACGGTAGGCCGCCCAGGGAGCCAACATGCCGTGCTTAGCTTACCCCTCATGTACCTTGTATCCGTTTTAGGACTAATAGCAAGGACCGTTGGAGAGGGGGAGAGGAGCAGGTAGGGACAGCGCGGAAAGGGGGGAATGAGAGAGTGGGCGGAGAGGGGAGAGATCTTGGTCACACCTTGCCGTTCTTAATGGAGGTGACCAGGCTTTCCAGGGAGCGCTCCAGAGTCTTGATCTGCAAGTACGAGGGCGCGGGAATGAAGGGGAGAGACGAGGGCGCGGGAATGAAGGGGAGAGACGAGGGCGCGGGAATGAAGGGGAGAGACGAGGGCGCGGGAATGAAGGGGAGCGACGAGGGGGTGGGAGCGAAGGGGAGCGACTGGAAAAGCGAGGGGCCTCAACCAGCAAGGCCGTGAGGCCGTGAGGCAGTGAGGCAGTGAGGCAGTGAGGCAATGAGGCAGCGAAGCAGTGAGGCAGCTAGGCAGCAAGGCGGTGGGGCCATACCTTTTCCAGCATGAAAGCATGTGCTGCGCCATCGTCCCATCGCACCTCCACCCCCAGCGGCTGCTGCGACTGCTGCGACACCTGCGACAGCTGCGACTGGTTCGCGTCGTCCAATCTCCAGTGCAGCACGGTGGAGGGCAGCGGCGGGGCGAGCACCAGCGCGGCTGCCAGCACCACTGCCGTCAATCCCTGCGCCGCTTTGCTCCGCTCCTTGCCTTCCGCCCTTACCATCCCCTCCCCCGCCGTTGTTTCCCCCGTCGCTGTTGTTTCCCCCCCATCGCTCCCCTTGCTTTCCGCATCGGCTGCGTTGGCCCGCCGCGTCGCATCGCATCTCGTTATTTGGGTCTCCGGGCGGCTACTGCTCACGATCCCGCCACGTGCGCTGCTGCTGCGCGCGGCACTCCTTGCGCTCCCGCTCCTCGCGCCGCATCCGTCGCTGAAACGGGGAAGCGCTAGCGGGGAATGCGCGAAGGCGGGGAGAGCGGGGACGCGGCGGAAGCCAGCCGGCAGGGACGAAAGGGCGGCAGAACCCGAAACAATGCGGTGATGCTGGGGTCGGTGATGGTGGGAGGGATGGCTTGCGCATGGTATTGCCGGCGGGGAGCGGGATCGGCGCTGGGAGCTAGTACCACCATGGATGAGCGATGCGGTAAGGGACCCTGGAGTAGGGCTTTGGGAGGAGGATAATAATAACGGTACGCAGCAATGGTGGGAATGAGGCGAGAGCAGCGAGGCGCCCGACCATCCCATTCTCCTGGTCCCTTCCTGAAGCACTCTTTGCTACTTCTTCCTCTTCCTAAAGTTTCGCGCGGTCCGTCAGGCTCAACACCACGAAGCAGCGCGGGGATTCCTATCGCGAAGTGAGTACACCAAGAAGAGATAGTTCGGGTATCTGATGTAACCTGTGCTCCTGGTCGCTGGTATTGGATGAGGCAGACATGGAATGAATGATGGGGAATGGGAATGATGCGCACGTCAGGGAATGAACCTGACACGTAACGAGATGAGACTACGCCAACGAGAAAAGGTGTGGAGGGGAAGATGGTTGTCAGGCGAGGGTGTGTGGCAAGTGGAAGTCAAAACGATATGACACGAGCGGTGGTCAGGTACAATAAGGTACAGAAGGATTTTGGACGTTTCAAAAGATTTGTTGAGAGATACAGAGGTAAATGACTGGACGTTAGGCGTGGAGGGTCCCTCCGAGCGTACTTGCCACGCGCCCTTAGAAGGAGGATCAGGAGGTTCGGGGGGGGGGAATTCGCTTCTGCTCCGGGGGTTGCGCGAGGAGTGTCAGAGAAGGGTTACTTGTTTCGCAAATCATCGCCTCTGAACATGCTGCAGTGATTGATGCTGACGAGTTACCTACTGGCAGGTGGTGTGGGTGTTGCGACGTGGCCACATCTCTTACCACTGGCCGGCATCAAGGACAACTCGGCGGAAGATCGAGGAATTTTTCCTCGTAAAGAGGAGAACGGATGCAAAATTCAATACACCTGAAGAACACGCTTCCTTCCTCCTATGTTCGAAATATATTTTGTCGCAAAAGAAATTCGTCTCTGTCCCCACTATCAGGGCATGTCCCCGGCGTAAGTTCTGTTAGAGGGTGTCAGAAGTAGCACAGATGGGACGTCACAAATGTTGAAAGAGGGTTACCATCACTGTACACGCTACAATTCCGATTTCTGGGATGGCCGAAGTAGGGCTCACGAAACCCAATGGTCAAACTTGACGTCAAGCTGTGTTGCTTCAACAACTTATTGGGCAGCCCATAAATTATTCCACAGAACCCGTAGGACACCCACCTAACCAACGAAAACGAGCTCGCGAATCTCTTGCTGGTCGTTGAGAAGGGAGAGGACAATTGTTTGTGACGCGGTAACTTTCAGTATGCTGGTGGTTCCCAATTTTTTGCTTGCCCGGTCAGAAAACTTTCTATCGTATTTCATTTTGGGCAGACTTGTGCGCGTGAGCATGTCCGAAGTTGGGATTTGCGTCTAATTTGACATCCACATTTGACATCGAGCTTTGCTGGTGAGTTGACATCAGCTAAGCTTAGTTGGCGTCAACTCTCTACTTCGGACACCTTCTTACGTGTGAGTGAGATGCTCTCGGAGTCAGAAGATTAATATGACAATCTAAAACGGTTGGGTAGGGTATTGAGGAAGAAACGTAGGCGTGGGTCACCCCCTCAATTCGCCTATTTTTTCAGGCACCATTGACATCTGTTCCTTGATCCTAGCCAGATCGTAAAGCCTATTCTCGATAGTGCATAAACTCATTATTACACGCAATGGCCGACGCAGCGTCGCACGCGGCGGGCCTGATAGACCTGCTGTCGAAGCTCCAGTCGCGGTTATCAACCAACGAGCTCGGACGGGTCCGTGCGACCAGGCTTTGACCTAGTTTCGGCCTGGCTTCTACCTGCTGCCATTTTCGCATTAGCTCATGATCCATACCGACATTCGCGCTTCTTCGTTAATCACATCCGTCGATATGCAAAATTCGTTATCTGGACTCCGCTCTCCTCCTTTTCCGTGCTCTTGCGGAAAGTTTTTTATTAGTCCACCTTCCATCCGGTTTCTCTCATATGTTCCGAGCTCATGATCGTTTCTCCGTCTTTAGATACTCCACTCCCTCCTCTTCCTCCTCCCTCTTCCCTCTCCCTCACATTTATGTTCACACTCCATGTTCGCTCTCCCTCCTACCCCACCCCTCAACCAATGTCACAATCTCATCTTATCCGATCACAGGCGCAGCAGCATCTCCAATGGCTGCAGGCCATCAAGGGCTCGTCCACGTCAGCAGACGAAGCGTCGCTTGCGGAGGGCGAGCTCCGAGTGCGTTCTTCCTATCCTCCCCTTCTCTCCATCCGTTCGTTATCTCCTTCCCTTCTTTCCGCCCCCTTTCTCATTCCGTCTCGCAAGGATCAGCATCCCAGCCTTTCTCTGCCTTCTTTCGTTCCCCCTTCTTGGTCTACTACAGCGCTCTCGCTCTTCGTCTTCCCCTCTCCATCCCCTACCCGTCATTACTCCGCCCATCCCTGCCCTTAGCCCATTTCGCATTATCCACTCATTCTGTACTTAGCCCGGAGAAAACCCCACTCCCTCTTCCCCTCTTCGTTGCATCGCCCCTGCGTGTGTGCGAGCGTGCGTGCTTCCTTGCGCGCTTGCGCGCGTGCGTGCGTGCTCGTGCGTGCGTGGTCGTCCGCAGGAGATGAGCGGGGAGGTGGTGAGCAGCAACCCGTACAGCCGGCTCATGGCTCTCCAGCGCATGGGCATCGTGCACAACTACCAAGACATCCGAAAGTACACCATCGCCGTTGTGGTATGCACAAACTCCCCACCAACCCCCTCTCTCCCCATCACCACCCCCACCCCCACCCCCACCCCAATCCCCATCCCCTCGCACTTACTTCCCCTCTCCCCCTGCCTCTTTGCTCCCGTCATTTCCCCCAAGGTATGTGTCTCTGCTGCTCCTTCATCTGGCTTGCTGCTGCATTGTTTTAGGTTTCAAAAACCTAACACATCCTTTCTCTGCTGCTCCTGCATCTGCCTTGCTGCTGCATTGCATCGAGCACACGATACCCCCTTCCAACGCATTCAAGAGCTGAACCCGCAGTATCCAACCTTCAAGCCCCCAGAAAATCTCACATATAGTCGACTGATGCATCCAACATGGGCATCCAAAACGTTTTGAGACATCCGACATATGTTCCGCGCTCGCACACCTCTCTATTTGTCCGCGTGTTTCCTTTCCACCCACCCACGCATGCGTGCGTGCGTGCATGCGTGCGTGCGTGCGTGCGTGCGTGCGTGCGTGCATGCGTGCATGCGTGCTGCTGGTGGCTGCGTGTCATCAGGGCGTGGGTGGTGTGGGCAGCGTGGCGGCGGAGATGCTGACGCGGTGTGGCATTGGGCGGCTGCTGCTGTACGACTATGACAGCGTGGAGCTCGCCAACATGAACCGACTCTTCTTCCGCCCCGACCAGGTGAGCGATGGGTGATCACTGGTTTTATGGGGCTCTGTGGGGCTCTTTGGGGCACTGTGGGGCTCTCTGGGGCTCTGTGTGGCTCTGTGGGGCACTGTGGGGCTCTGTGCTTCTCACTGCTGCTGTGCTGCTGCTCGTGCAATTAGACGTGTGTTGTCATGTCATTGCACGCACACATGCTCCTTATCCCGACCCTTCCCCTCTTTCTCCACTTTCTCTCCCGTCGTCCGTCGCATGACATGTATGCATGCACTCACACATCCTCCCTCTCCCTCCTCCCTCCTCCCTCCTCCCTCCCGGCGGCCAGGTGGGCATGACCAAGACAGACGCTGCAGTGCAGACGCTCAAGGGCATCAACCCGGATGTGGGACTCGAGGTCAGTCTCTCACCCTGTCTCTCACCGTGTCTCTCACCCTGTCTGACACCATGCTCGTGCCTTGCTGTCTGTCTCGTCGCCTGCACCTTGCCAGCTCTCTTGTGTATCACGTTCCGTCCTTGTACACCTCTCCTCTCCCCAGTCCTCCACCCCGCGTCCACCTCCTCCTTCCCTAATATTTCTCTTCCACACATAGCTCTATCTGACCCCGCTCCTTGCTTCCCCCAAATCCCCCCATTCCCTTACGACTCCAACCCTTTCGCCCTCCCCTCCTTCCCCCCGCCCCCCACCGTCTCCTCGCCTTTCCCCCCAGAGCTACACCATCAACATCACGACAGTGGAGGTCTTTGAGCGGTTTACAGCGAGCCTCACACATTGCTCTGACCCCTACGTCCCCATTCTTTCCCCGCCCCCCCTCCCCCCTCCCCCCAGAGCTACACCATCAACATCACGACAGTGGAGGGCTTTGAGCGGTTTACAGCGAGTCTCACGCACCCCTCGGACCGCAGCAAGAGTCGTGTGGACCTGGTTCTGTCGTGCGTTGACAACTACGAGGCCCGTATGGTCGTCAACCAGGTGGGCAGATGCAAAAGGAGGGAAGCAGGGGAAATGCAGGGTGCATGGGATGGTTGTCAACCAGCTAACGGGGGAGTGAAAACGGGGGGATGGTTATGGTAGGGTTGGCTTGACAGATGCTTGGATTGATGGATTCTATTTTCCTTTCCCTCCCCTCCATTTTCGATTTTGTCTTCCACCTCTCTCGTTCCAACACACTCCTCAGGCATCCATCCACCTCTCCTGGTGTTTGTGTCTGGCAGGCATGCAACGAGCTGAAGCAGGTGTGGATGGAGTCGGGGGTGTCGGAGGACGCAGTATCGGGCCACATTCAGCTGCTCATTCCAGGAGAAACCGCCTGCTTCGCCTGTGCACCTCCTCTGGTGCCCCTCCCTTCCTCCTCGTCTTGCACACACCACCTGCATCCTGCTCGCATGAACCCGTCCCTGCCTGCCTGTCTCCCTGCCTGCCTGCCTCCCTGCCTCCCTGCCTCCCTGCCTCCCTGCCTCCCTGCCTCCCTGCCTCCCTGCCTCCCTGCCTGCCTGCCTGCCTCCCTGCCTCCCTGCCTCCCTGCTTGCCTGCCTCCCTGCCTCCCTGCCTCCCTGCCTGCCTGCCTCTCTGCCTCCCTGCCTCCGCCTGTATTCCTCACATCGACCCTCCTGATTATTTTCTCATGGCTCCGCCTCTGCATGTGCATGTGCTCATGCCTCCTGCGCTTTGCCTTGCCATGCCATCATCGTCCAAAGCTATACCTATTTCCCTCGCGTTGGCCGCCCCTCTCCCCTCCTCCCTCCCCCCTCCGACCCCCCACCTTCCCTCTCCCCCACCATTTGTCTCCGTGCGCCCGGTGGTGGCATTGGGTGTGGATGAGCGCATGCTGAAGCGCGAGGGTGTGTGCTTGCACACCCCACTCCCCCTCCTTTTCCGCCCTTCTCTCTCAAAATTCTCTATCCTTCGTAAACAGTTCTCCCCCCAACCCCCCGTGTGCGGCAGGTGGTGGCGTCGGGCGTGGATGAGCGCACGTTGAAGCGTGAGGGCGTGTGTGCAGCGTCGCTGCCCACCACCATGGGCATCGTGGCGGGGCTGCTCGTGCAGAACTCCCTCAAATTCCTCCTGCGCTTCGGATCCGTCACGCCCTACCTTGTACGCTGCTGCCGTAACCCCTGCCTTCTCTCTGCCTTGTACCTGGCTAACCACCCTTGCGCTCATCCCTCCCCCCCCCTTCGCATTTGTTTTCTGCTAGCGTATCTTGTAGTGGCGATGCTCCAAGCCTTCCCCCATGCTATGCTCGACTCCCTCTCTCCCTCCCTCCCTCCCTCCCTCCCTCCCTCCCTCCCTCCCTCCCTCTCTCCCTCTCTCCGTCGCCCCCCCCAAGGCTACAATGCGGTCAGGGATTTCTTCCCTACCATGCGCATGCTAAGAGCCCTTCAGACAGAGTCCTTTCCTCATGCCCTGCTCGTCTGCCTCTCTCCCTGCACCCCCGCCAGGGCTACAGTGCGCTCAAGGATTTCTTCCCCACCATGCGCATGCTGCCCAACCCACACTGCTCCAACGACATGTGCCGCAAGAGACAGGTGCGGTGCGGTGGGGTGCATTACGAAGCAGTGCAGTGCAGTGCACAGTACTGGAGTGCATTGCTGACCATTGTAGTAGTGGCGGTGCGGTGCTGTGGGATGCACTGTGCTGGATGCAGAGCATTGCAGTGCAGTGTCTCTCTTTTTTACCCCTCCTTGCTTCCCTATGGCAGGCCGAGTATGAGGCTGACAGGCCCCAAAGAGAGGCAGCCAAGGCAGCAGCGGACGCGGCAGCAGCAGAGGAGGAGAAGCTCAAGGAGGCAGTGCCGGTGCACGCTGACAACGAGTGGAGCATCAGGTGATGTGATGATGTCTTGGCGCTCATGCATGGTAATGGGAACGGGGAGGAGGAGTATTTTGAGAGCAGGCTCTAGTTACATCTGAGCAGCGGAGGAGGAGAAGCTTAAGGAGGCAGTGCCGGTGCATGCTGACAATGAGTGCAGCATCAGGTAATGGTTGGCAATGGCTGATGGCGATGGGTTGCAGCATGATGATGATGATGATGATGATGATGATGATGATGATGATGATGATGATGATGATGATGATGATGATGATGATGATGATGATGATGATGATGATGATGATGATGATGATGATGATGATGATGATGATGATGATGATGATGATGATGATGATGATGATGATGATGATGATGATGATGATGATGATGATGGCTAGAGACTCCTGTTTCTTTTGCAGGCTTCCAGATATACGCATGCATTTTTCAAATTGCCTGGCAGAATTCTCTCTGACTCCTGAACTTCTCTTTCCCTCAACCCCCTCCCGGGTCTCTCCCCTCCCCACGAACGTTTTCATCCCCCCCTCATTCTCCCTCTTTTGAATTCCTCACTCACGTTTGCTGTCCCTGGTGTTACTGCTTCTTACCCAATATGTTCTATCTGCAGTGTGGTGGATGATGATGCTCCAGCGTCCACTGCTGCATCGACATCAGCAGGTCCGTCCCATCTCTCGCACCTTCCCTGTTCGCCGTTCATTGCTCGTGCCGGAAACTTGTGTGTCCAAGGCCACTCTTTGGGTGTCCTTGCCTCTGCAAAGTTTATCTGTGTAGGTGTGTGTGTGTGTGTGTGTGTGTGTGTGTGTGTGTGTGTGTGTGTGTGTGTGTGTGTGTGTGTGTGTGTGTGTGTGTGTGTTGTGTGTGTGTGTGGTGTGTGTGTGTGTGTGTGTGTGTGTGTGTGTGTGTGTGTGTGTGTGTGTGTGTGTGTGTGTGTGTGTGTGTGTGTGTGTGTGTGTGTGTGTGTGTGTGTGTGTGTGTGTGTGTGTGTGTGTGTGTGTGTGTGTGTGTGTGTGTGTGTGTGTGTGTGTGTGTGTGTGTGTGTGTGTGTGTGTGTGTGTGTGTGTGTGTGTGTGTGTGTGTGTGTGTGTGTGTGTGTGTGTGTGTGTGTGTGTGTGTGTGTGTGTGTGTGTGTGTGTGTGTGTGTGTGTGTGTGTGTGTGTGTGTGGTGTGTGTGTGTGTGTGTGTGTGTGTGTGTGTGTGTGTGGTGTTGGTGTGGTGTCTGCGTGTCTGCGTGTCTGCGTGTCTGCGTGTCTGCGTGTCTGCGTGTCTGCGTGTCTGCGTGTCTGCGTGTCTGCGTGTCTGCGTGTCTGCGTGTCTGCGTGTCTGCGTGTCTGCGTGTCTGCGTGTCTGCGTGTCTGCGTGTCTGCGTCTCTGCGTCTCTGCGTCTCTGCGTCTCTGCGTCTCTGCGTCTCTGCGTCTCTGCGTCTCTGCGTCTCTGCGTCTCTGCGTCTCTGCGTCTCTGCGTCTCTGCGTCTCTGCGTCTCTGCGTCTCTGCGTCTCTGCGTCTCTGCGTCTCTGCGTCTCTGCGTCTCTGCGTCTCTGCGTCTCTGCGTCTCTGCGTCTCTGCGTCTCTGCGTCTCTGCGTCTCTGCGTCTCTGCGTCTCTGCGTCTCTGCGTCTCTGCGTCTCTGCGTCTCTGCGTCTCTGCGTCTCTGCGTCTCTGCGTCTCTGCGTCTCTGCGTCTCTGCGTCTCTGCGTCTCTGCGTCTCTGCGTCTCTGCGTCTCTGCGTCTCTGCGTCTCTGCGTCTCTGCGTCTCTGCGTCTCTGCGTCTCTGCGTCTCTGCGTCTCTGCGTCTCTGCGTCTCTGCGTCTCTGCGTCTCTGCGTCTCTGCGTCTCTGCGTCTCTGCGTCTCTGCGTCTCTGCGTCTCTGCGTCTCTCTCTGTCTCTCTGTCTCTCTGTCTCTCTGTCTCTCGGTCTCTCCGTCTCTCCGTCTCTCCGTCTCTCCGTCTCTCCGTCTCTCCGTCTCTCCGTCTCTCCGTCTCTCCGTCTCTCCGTCTCTCCGTCTCTCCGTCTCTCCGTCTCTCCGTCCCTCCGTCTCTCCGTCTCTCTCTCTCTCTCTCTCTCTCTCTCTCTCTCTCTCTCTCTCTCTCTCTCTCTCTCTCTCTCTCTCTCTCTCTCTCTCTCTCTCTCTCGCTCTCTCTCTCTCTCTCTCTCTCTCTCTCTCTCTCTCTCTCTCTCTCTCTCTCTCTCTCTCTCTCTCTCTCTCTCTCTGTGTCTCTGTGTGTCTCTGTGTGTCTCTGTGTGTCTCTGTGTGTCTCTGTGTCTCTGTGTCTCTGTGTCTCTGTGTCTCTGTGTCTGTGTGTCTGTGTGTCTGTGTCTGTGTGTCTCTGTGTGTCTCTGTGTGTCTCTGTGTGTCTCTGTGTGTCTCTGTGTGTCTCTGTGTGTCTCTGTGTCTCTGTGTCTCTGTGTCTCTGTGTCTCTGTGTCTCTGTGTCTCTGTGTCTCTGTGTCTCTGTGTCTCTGTGTCTCTGTGTCTGTGTCTGTGTGTGTGTGTGTGTGTGTCTGTGTGTGTGTGTGTGCGAGAGACAGAGCATGCACATGTGCTCTCTGCAAGCCCCTGCTCACGCATTCGCAATCTATATGTTCCCATGATGTCTATGTGCCCTCCATAATCATTCCCAGGCGATTCAGCAGCGGCGCCGCCATCATCTTCGCAAGCAGAGCAGCTGCCAGAGGGTCTCCTGCGCTCCTTGCCACAAGCGGATGAGGCGGCCCCTACTGGAGCAGCGGAGGATGTGGTATCGGTGCCAGCCGAGGCAGATCTGGACGACCTGCAAAGCCAGCTCGCCGCGCTAATGGGCACTAAATAAGGGTGTTTCCTTGATTAGACTGGACAAGTGAAGGTGGTGAAGGAAGGTGCAGTATTTTGACTCTTGCACGAACAAATATATTGGCACGTTATTATTTGTCTAAGTGCTAAACGTGTGTGTGACTAAGCTTATAAGAGACATCTTCGCGGAGAACGTGTCTGACACCAAAGCACATTTTGCGAAGTTTTACCTCGTCAGTGTGACCGCACGAGGTTGGTGTGTTGTTACATCGAGAATTTCGCCGACGCGAAATGCCACCGGTAATCCAGGCAACAGTTCTTCGTCTTCGGTCTTGCGCGCGCCACAAGGACAATTTCTAGGTTCATCCATGTACAAAATGTACGCGATATGGTGCTTTCTAGGTTCCCAACCAAGCTCCTCCCAGCCGAAGCCGGACATCCCATTCCCACCCCTCTTCACAAGGAAATCATCTGCGAGAATTCTTCAGTTCTCTTCTCCTGCGTTGGCGGAAACCAAGCCAGCGTCTTGTCAGATTTCCCTACTGCTTGCGAGCCGTCTGTGGTGGTAAGCCGCCTCGCTTCGTACTGCTGCGCTACTTTTTCCCTCCGCACGCTGGCATTATTCCCTGTTGTGTGTCCCACACTATACAGGAAACCCGTTTCTGGTGCGTCAGTCGTGCTGTTGCTCTTACTCCAATTTTCCCAACCTCTCTCTTTTCGTCTGTCCGCGTCGCCAGTTGCATGGCCTGTGCAGCCGCCGGACTTACGCTTCGTGCGACCGCCGCGTGGCAGCAATCCATCGGCGCACGAGCTGCTAACTCTTCCCGCAAGGCGTGCTTGTCGTCCCTCCGCCGGTTCTCCTTACCTGCCACGCACCACGCATCCCCCGCACAGGTACACCATATGGGCCATGCCTGATTCCCGTCCTGAACTTCTCATCTGTGGTCTTTCCCTCCCGCTTCTTCGCCTTCTCCCTGGCCTCGTTTCTCTGGCCTCTCTCCCCGGCCTCTCTCCTCACATCGTCATTGCCTCCTCTGTCTACATCGTCGCTTCCCAGCTCCAGCGCCGGGCTATTCGCGGCATGGCGTCAGCGGACAAGGAGTCGGCGAGCAATAACCCCGGGCTGGTGGAGGAGGTGGATCCGGCCACCAGCAAATACATCATGCAGCAGACGGTACGCTGAGGTGACTGACCGTTGAGTTGAGACTGTGTGCCCAGAAGCCGCAGTGTGGATCCGGCCACCAGCAAATTCATCCGGCAGCAGACGACATGTCGAGCTGAGGTGGCATAGAATCGACTCAGAAGACACCTTATAGATGCTTTTGAGTCGACTCAAAAGTGGAGGAGGTGGATGGATCCGATCCGGCTACCAGCAAAAACATCATGCAGCAGACGGTACTCTGAGGTGACTGGCAAATGAGAGGACTCAGAAGCCACCTTGTGATCACTGTTACCAGTAAATGCATGATGCAGCAGCAGACGGTGTGCATGCGTGCAAGCAGGCAGCTGTTGATCCCTCGGGAGCATGGACTTGATGGCAGAGGTTTCATGCACCAAGCATCACGCCACAAGCATCTACCCCCTCCCCGTACCCTCCTTCCCTATATCTGCATTTTCCAGTATGCTTCACGTTTTTCAGTCCTCGGTGCAAAAAGTGGATTTTTTTACTCCTTGCCTTTTCAACTACACCCCGCACATACATCGTGCATGGCCATACTCATGGTTGGCATGGGGGTCGCACATCATGGCATGGGATGGCACATCATGGCATGGGGTCAAACGCATGCCATGGCACATCATGGTATGGCATGGGTCGCACGCATGGCATGGCATCGCATGGCATGGTATGGCATGGCATGGGGTGGCATGGGGTGGCACATGACGGCATCAGATGTATCGCATCAAGGACCCCAAGGCCAGTCTGCACTTCTACTCCTCTGTGCTCGGCATGAGGTGGGTGGGTGGTGTGCTGTGATGTGCTGTAGTGTGGTGTGGTGTAGTGTGGTGTAGTGTGGTGTAGTGTGGTGTAGTGGGTGCCGCATGAGGTGGGTGGGTGGTGTGGTGTGATGTGGTGTAGTGGGTGCCACATGAGGTGGGTAGTGGGTAACTACTAACTAGGCGACCTCCAACTTGTGATACCAGGGGACCAAGGAAGGGAGTCTGAGGCTTAGGACTGTCATTTATGTCCAGCTTGTGCACAGGAAAAGAGCGGTAGATCTTTTGAGTCGACTCAAAAGCCAGCTTGTGCACAGGAAAAGGGCTGTAGATCCTAATTTTCCTCTTTCCTAAAGCTTTTGGGTGGGCCTTTCCATTGCCACGTGGCTGTCTTCCCTTGCAGGCTGCTGAAGCGCCTTGACTTTCCCGAGGCTAAGTTCTCCCTCTACTTCATGGGATACGAGGTGAGGTAGCAGACAGGTCGAGCTTACTCCCCCCTGTTCTACCGAGCATGCCATGCATCTCTGCCATGCATCTCTGCCATGCATCTTTGCCATGCATCTCTGCTGTGCATCTCTGCCTCGTCCCTTCGTTCTACGCATGCCATGTTTCTTGCCCTTCCCTATCTCCCTCGTCCCGCTCGTCCGTCCCCCTATTCCCATGCGCACAGCAACCAGAGGAGATCCCCACGACGGAGGCGGAGAGGGTGAAGTGGCTGTTCACGCGCAAGGCCACCATCGAACTCACACAGTAGGGAGGGACCGAAGAGACGGGGTGCATTGGGGGTGCGAAAGTGTTGCTTATGTGTGCCTTGGCTGGCCGGGCTTGTAGACGGCACACATGATGCTTGTGGGCTGAGGGTGAAGTGGCTGCTCACGCGCAAAGCCACCATCGAGCTCACACATTAGGGACCGAAGAGGGATGGGCGGTGGAGGGAGGGGTGGGAGGGGAAGGCAGGTGCTCCTTTTTCAACCATCTGCATCGCCTCGCCACTAAGAGCTGTGCCTGTTTTCTCTAGAGGTTTTTTGCTGGGTGCGTCACTCTCTCACTGCTCACGTTATTTCATTTCACCTCCTTTCCCACTATCGTTCTTTTACTAACCACGCCTTGATGCTCCCCTGGTGCTCCCTCTCCCCCTCTCCTCCTCATGTGGCCGCACACAGCAACTGGGGCACGGAATCTGATCCCGATTTCAAGGGCTACCACAACGGCAATTCCGATCCCAGGGGCTGGGGTGAGATGAAAGGCCTCCTCCCCGCCTGCCTCTTCGCTGGCTTGTCTCTGTCTCCCTGCTCATCTCTGCAATATCCTCTTCGTTTCCGAGCTGCCTATTTGCTTCCTGTATCTCCACTCCAAAAGGTCGAACCCCCCCCTCTCCCCCCTCCTTCCTCCCCCTCCCTTTCTCTCCATCCCCCTTCCTCTCCCTCCCTCTCCACCCCCCTTCCTCCCCCCATCATATCATCTCCATAACGGGCCATGTTGGCGTTATGGTGGATGATGTCTACAGTGCATGCACGCGGTTTGAGAAGCTTGGACGCTCTGATAAAGCGCCTCAAAACATTCCTGGCCGCCCATATCCCCACTGAATCATATCATGTGTCATGCTCCCCCAACATCCCACATTGGCGTTATGCTGGACAACGTGTACATAGCAACAATTGGGGCACCTAAAGAATCCCCCCCCCGCCCCCTCTCCCACCCCACCCCACCATCCCCCGCGTCACATAATATTCGCAACAGGCCACATCGGCGTTTCAGTAGACGACGTGTACACGGCATGCGAGCGGTTTGAGAAGCTCGGGGTGGAATTCGTGAAGAGGCCGGATGAGGGGCGCATGAAGGGGCTGGCGTTTATCAAGGACCCCGACGGCTACTGGATCGAGATCCTGGACTCAAACCACATGGGCCAGCTGCTCTCTGCCTGACACGCCTGGGATGAGCATGCAGTACAGTCGAGAATTCCGGTTGAGACGGGGGCTTGGAAGTGGGTAGAACTTCAGGGGTCCAGCTTCGTGGCTTGGACTTGATTCAGGGTTCTGGGTCTTCATTGAGTCTGTTTAGGCAGGTTGCTTTACATGTGGCGCACAGACTGCGGCGGCCCATAAATCAAGTCTTGCACATGGGGTGATCGACTGTTGAAGCTGCCGCAAGGAGGGGCTCGTTCTGCCCTGCTAGGAGGTGCCGAGCCAAGTGTTGATTAGACTGTCGGTCTGTGTGAAGTGATTTGTCTGCTGGGGACGATGCGGTGACATTGGTGGGGGTCAGTGATGTGATGTACCTGGGCTGGGCTGGGCTGATGCTGTGCTTTAGTTGGTTCTTTGGAGGGCCTACCATAACTGGCTGTATTGCACCGAAACTTCTCACATGAATCAAGCAGTTATTGAGTAAGGGGTGTCAGTCACCTGCACACCACATACACCACAGCATCGCATAACACACAGATAAGCTGCATACGACCATGCGGCTTTCCATGCCTTGGGGAGACGCTTTATTCGTACGGCTGATGTGCAGTCAAGACTAGGACTCACGATACGTATGCTGAAAGAGAAGCCCAACCCAGCACAGCTGGTACAGGTTAGTTGGGGTTTGGGGGGGAGGGCACTGTGAGATGCGAACTCAGCCATAACTAGCAACCGTACATCAAGCATTGCGAGCATTCTCTGTACAAGGGGCTCGTCTTGTCTCTTCAGTGACGAACAAAGTCCGAGGGTGCCGTAGATGGACAACAATTGTATCAATGGCACCATGCCAGGCAGGCACCTCACATCCCCTCTTACACACCATACCCAAGTTAGGGCAGAGCTGGCCACACTCCCTCGTCTGTAAGGCAAGCCCGCCGAAAACCAGGTCACGCGGGTCAGTAGAAGACGCACAAGTCAGAAGTCAGTTGTCGTGCTGCATGCTCCGTGCCACGCCATACAGGGGTTAGTCTCTGTCTCCTCTCCTCTCAACACACAGCGACACACACGCGCGCCAATCGCCATACGCGCGATCTCCACACAGCTGCACACTCGATAGATCTCCTCCATGTGTTAGTCCCAAGATACGTCAACTCTGACTGCCAAATGACGACGACGATGATCCTTCCCGCCCTCTCCCCGGCCCCCTCCCTTGTTGCCCTTGCTGCCCTTGATGCCCTTGTTGCCCTTGTTGCCCCAGCATTACACTATCCTCTCCGGAGCTCCTCTTAAACGACCCTGACCGAGGAGTCTTCTCTCCTCGTCCCACATCCTTACTGCTTGCAGGCCCTGGCCCTCTGTTCCCTCTACCCCCGTTCTCCCCACTGCCTCCACTGCCCTCGCCCCCGTCATCTGCCCCTGAGCTGCGGCGGAGGGAGGACGAGCGAGGGGTGCGGGCCAGAGAGCCCCGGGGCGTGGATGCACATGCTGCACTGCTGCTGCTGCTGCTACCGCTCCCGCTGCTGCTGCTGCGAGTGTTGCTGATGCTGCTGCTGCTACAAGTGTTGCTGCTGCTGCTGCCACTGCTGTCAACACTACTCCGCAGGCTGGACGACACTCCTTCTGCTCCTACTGCTCCTGTTGCTCCTGCTGTTCCTTCGGGGATTTTCTTGAGAGACCGTGAGGATGGCAGCGTGTGCAGGCTACGACCCGGAGGAGTGACACCATCCGCAGAACCACCAGTCCCAGCAGCACCCGCAGCAGAATTATTCACTCCGTCCGGACTGGCCACACCGCTCTGCTGACACCCAGCACCACCATCAGCACCACCATCAGCACCACCATCAGCACCACCATCACAGACAGATCTGGGCGTAGCAGGGGAGTCCGACGAGGTCCTCCTGAACGACCCACTCCGCCCATCCCCATTGCTGCTCGTCGACGAGCTCCGCCTAAAGCTATTGCTGCCACCGCTGCTGCTGCTGCTGGCTCTGGGAGTGCGTGGCGTGCCGGCAGAGCCAGGAGGCCCTGCAGCACGGGGAGTCCGTGGGGCCCCTCCCGGTCCTCCCGGTCCTCCTCTTGGTGTTCCCGGCGTTTTCCCGTTCACACTGCTGCTGCGACTCATGCTGTTGTTTCTGCTGTTGCTGCTGCCGCTTCGAGGTGTGGTGGGGTGGCGCCTGACTCTATCTGCCTTGAGCTCCCTCTCCAACCTCTTGCGCTCCGCCTCCACCTGCTTGGTGTTGTCCTCCACTGCCTTCTTGTAGTTCTGCATGAAGTTAAAAAGAATGAGCGTCACTGGTGGTGGGGGTGGGGGAGAAGCCAGGGGCGAAGGGAGGAATGAGGGGGGAGAATGGAGAGGGTGTTTGGTGTTGACTAAGTCTCCCTCTGCTTGGTGTTGTTGTCCACCGCAATCTTGTACTTCTGCATGAAGTTGAAGAGAATGAGCGTCACTGTTGGGGGGGGGAAAGGGGGGTGGTGGAAGGGAAGGAGGGCGATGGGAGGAGGGAGAGAGGGAGAGAGAGTGTTTTGAGCTCGCACGGCCTCCACCTGCTTGGTGTTGTCTTCCACCGCCTTCTTGTAGTTCTGCATGGATTTGAAGAGGATCAGCGTCACTGGTGAGGGGGGAGAGGGAGAAAGAGGGTGAGAGGAGGAGGGTGAGATTAAATATGTGTTGTGCATGTGTTGTGCATGTGTTGTGTTGTGCATGTGTTGTGCATGTGTTGTGCTGCCTACATGTGTGCACATGCAGAGGCAAGTGTGCGTGCATGCGTGCATCCATGAAAATGTGGGTTTCTGCACATGCATGTGCATGTGCATGTGCATGTGCATGTGCATGTGCATGAGCGTATTTGGGTTTCTGCACATGCGTGTGCATGTGCGTGTGCATGTGCGTGTGCTTGTGCATGTGCGTCAGCATGTGCATGTGCATGTGCGTGTGTGCTGGTACAACCCACCATGTTCGAAGGGGCATTTGGCGGGATCCTCGCCAAAGTACTTGGAAAGAGACTCAGCACTGCGGCTCTGGCGAATGACAACGGAAATGGGAACGGGAATATGGATGACAATGACGATAATATTGAGGATGAGAATGGGAGTGGGATTGGGAGTGGGATTGGGAGTGGGATTGGGATTGGGATTGGGATTGGGATTGGGATTGGGATTGGGATTGGGATTGGGATTGGGAGTGGGAGAGGGATTGGGATTGGTATTGGGAGTGGGAATGGGATTGGAATTGGGATTGGGATTGGAAATGAGGATGAGAATGGGAGTGAGACCACCACAGCAGCATGAGAGAGCGTGAACGAGGTGGGCAGCTGAGCAAACACGGGGGAGCATGCGAAAAACAGGGACCGCTCATCAGACTGGCTGAGGGAACTGTGATTCGCAGCAGAATGATCACTGCTATGCTAATAATGAAGGGAGAAAGACTTCTCACGGCTTCAGCATAGAGCGCTGACAGTCGCCTCCCATCAGTTGCCGCCTCCTCCAGAAACACTCCCAGCGCCTGTGGAAGCAGGGTTGAAGAGAGAGGAGTCGTGTGTTAGGATTTTCAAGCATAGTCTCCTCAGCCATCTCTCCTCTCTCACCACTCAGTCCACTCACTCCTCTCCCCCCTCTCCCTCCTCTCCCTCCTCTCACTCCTCTCACTCCTCTCACTCCTCTCACTCCTCGCACCCCTCCCAGCGCTCTCAGCAGGCTTACCTTCCTGAAGCTGTCAGCGCAGGGCCCATCGGAGCCACAAGCAGTGAGCTCTTTCTCGGCCATCACCATGTCGTTGGTCAGCTGCCGCATGTCCTCCGCCAGCTGCTTCACTTGCACCTGCACACCGGAGAGGCGGGGGGGAGGGGAAGGGAGGGGGTGGGGTGGGGTGGGGGGGGGGGGTTGTAAGGGTGAGGAAGCATGAATACAGCCGGCTCAAAGCAATCAGCTGCTGCATGTCCTCCGCCAGCTGCTTCACTTGCACCTGCAGGCAGCGGAGGGGGGGAGGGGAGGGGTTGAGGGAGGGAGGGGAGGGGTTGGGAGAGGGAGGGAAGTGCCTCGAAGCACAGTCAGCTGCCGCATGTCCTCCGCCAGCTGCTTCACTTGCACCTGCAGGTAGCGGAGGGGGGAGAGAGAGGGGAGGGGTTGAGGGAGGGAGGGGGAATCGGGAGAGGGGGAAATGGGGGAGGGGTTGAGGGAGGGATGGAGGCGCCTCGAAGCACAGTCAGCTGCCGCATGTCCTCTGCTAGCTGCTTCACTTGGGCCTACAGGGGGGAGGGGGGAAGAGGTGGGGGGGGCGAAGGGAGGGACAGAGGAAGGCAGCTGCCAACATTGCAAACGGGAACGAGTGAGTGAGTGAGTGAGTGAGTGGGCGAGTGAGTGATGTGAGTGAGTGAGTGGGCGAGTGAGTGGGCGAGTGAGTGAGTGAGTGAGTGGGCGAGTGAGCGGGCGAGTGAGTGAGTGAGTGAGTGGGTGAGTGCGTGCGCACAGGAGGGATAGGTTGGAATAGACAGGGCAAGTCTGGCTGTCTGATCTTGATTACGCAAGCCTGAAGGGAAGGGGAACTGACTTGATGCTGCAAGCCTAGGGAGCATCTGACCTTGTGTGCTTTCTCCAACGAAGGAAGATCAGACGGAAACTTTGCTATTTCTGGTAACTTGGTCTCGAGCACCTGAGAGGTAAGGGGGAAATGAGGGAAACGAGGGAAATGAGGGAAGTGAGGGAAGTGAGGGATACGAGGGAAGAGGAAGTGGACAGAAAGGAGAGCAAGGAGATGAGAAGCTGATTCACGGGATGCGGTGATGAGGATGCAAACAACACGTGTGAATAATGCAGGGGACATGCATGGCTGGGCCCTGTTTAGAGCACGGGGGGAAAACAAGCACGGCGGGGAGGGGGGGAGGGGGGGTCGTGGCGCACCTTAGCAAGGTAGTTAAGGAGGGTCATCTTGCTGTTGCGTGTCTTGGTGTCAGTGAGCTTTAAGAGGCTGTCTAGCTTGAACCCCACAGCAGCACCTGCTCAGGCCGGGGGAAACGACAATGGGGAGAGGAGTGGGGGAAGTGGCGGCCAGCGGGTGGGGGTGAGAGGGGGGTGGGAGTGGGGGGGGGGTGGTTAGGGGGGATATAGAAGGGGAGTGAAGTGGCGGTGTAAGCAAGCGCATGAACACGGCATGATAAACAGCCCACTTGGAAAAATCTGGAGGCTGAAGAACCAACAACCAGATGTGCGCATGTGCGTACGTGCGTACCCCAGGCTGGCAGTGGCTCGAGTTTTGGGTTGTGTGAGAAGAAAATACTTGTGCCAGCAGGCAGGCAGGCAGGCAGGCAGGCAGGCAGGCAGGCATACCTCTGGCGGTGCCCTGGTTGAGAGCGTTGCCCAGTGAGAGGATGGTTTGCATGATGCGACGCAGGCGGAATGACTCGCGGATCTGCATGGGACATGGGGCATGGGGGATAAGGCATGGGACACGGCATGGGGCATGGTGCATGGCATGGGTCAGACAGACAAACATTAGTGTTGATCATTCGGCACAAAGGAAAGGAGCGGCACGTCAAGAAGCCATGGCCAGGCCAGGAGACGCGCCAGCAGCAGCACACAACCCTCACAGCAGCAGCAGCAGCAGCAGCAGCAGCAGCAGCAGCAGCAGCAGCAGCAAGAGGCTCACCTCCTTGCATGCCTGGATGACCAACTCCATGTTCTGCCGCACGTCCACCACCTGTGATGTGACATGACCATTGACCCGCCATAGTGGGGTGGGGAGGGACGTGACGTGCATACAGCCAAGAGGCCATGGGGGATGAGGTGATGGTTGTTTGGACTAACATGAGTCAGCACCACACTGAAAGCAGCAGCAGCAAAAGCAGCACTCGGGACACCAGGGGCTGCAGCAGCAGGACAGAGGGACAGACAAGAAGAGGGGCAGTAGGGAAGAGGTACAGCAGGGGAGAGGGGCGCATGCACGGACCTGGCGGGAGAAGGAGAGCTTGAACTGGAAGGCGAGGAGCTTGCGCTCCATACGGGGGACCCGCATCATCTCCAGGAAGAACTGCAGTGTGGGGCGCGATGGGGAAGGGGGCGGGCGAGAGAGAGGGGTGGGGAGAGAGAGGGCCTTTGAGTCGACTCAGAAGTTAGCTTGCGCTGCATATGGGGCACCCGCATCATCTCCAGGAAGAACTGCGGTGTGGAGCGCGATGGGGAAGGGGGCGGGAGAGAGGGACGGGGAGTGGAGTGGGCCTTTGAGTCGACTCAAAAATCAGCCTGCACTCCATACGGGGTACTCGAACCATCTCAAGGAAGAACGGCAGAGAGCGATGGGGAAGGGGGTGGGCGAGAGAGAGGGGTGGGGAGAGAGAGTGGGATAAACGAGCTGATGGGTTGCGATGACTAGGCGGAAGGAGAGTCTGGCAATTGTGTTAGGTGACTAGAGAGAGGGGAGGTGCGTGAAAGGGTCGGAGCATGAAAGGGTGGGTGGGAGGGAGCATGGAAATTAAGACGTCATGAGTGGGAGGAATGGAATTGCACAACTGTCGAGATGCCTGGATTTTTTAGGCGCCTAAAAAAAAGATGCCTGACGTGTTTTTGTTTCTTTTTTACCGTGGGACAAAACTGGCACAACCATGTAACAGGCTACAAGCTGACACGTGAGAAGCTCACTCTTCCTCACCACCCACCTGCTCGCATGGTCCCAGTGTGTCCTTTGGCCCTGGAAACGCCTGCAGCACAGAACACACACGCACGCACGCCACACACGTGGAGGAGAGAATTGATGGGCATGAGGGCGAAGAAAAGAACACACATGTGAAAAGAAAGGAAGGCGCATACCGGTAAGAAAAAATATCAATCAGCAGGATGCATACGAGGGTCAGTAAACAAACTAGAAACTACATCCGTGGCATGCCTTGGCAGCTAAGGCTGCCCGTGTCATGTCATGTCAACCATTGGGCTTCGGATCACATGCCATTTCACGTCACCAGCTTGAGCATCTCCGCCTCATTACACGAGTTTTATGCCGTATCACTCACCTTGAGCATCTCCATCTCCTCCTTGGTGGGGCAGAACTTGTGCAGGGCCTCCACGCCCTCCTCGTTCAGCACCGATGAGTCCAGAGCCAGCACTGCGTCCTGTTGGCGGCAGAATGGAGCGCGGGGGGGAGGAGAGGGTGGGGGGAGTAGACCGGGAGGAAAGCGGAGAGGGTTTCGAGGTGCCTTCAAGCAGACTCGCCGCCCAGCACTGACGTGTCCAGGCAGAGCCAGCACTGCGTCCTGTGGGCGGCGGAACAGAGGTGGGTGTGTGGGTTGGGATAGCAGGGGAGGGGAGAGGTAAGTGCTCTTCTGAGACACTAAAAGCACTAACATGTGTCAAGCCAGGAAGGGAATGTGTTCGGAGGTGGAAGAAAAAAGCAGTGAGAAGGGAGCGACAAGGAAGGATAACCGTGTGTAATGAGTCGATTTTTGAGTCGACTCAAAAATCGACTCATTACACACGCGACAAGGAAGGATAACGGACAGGGAGATGAAGGGATGGGATGGGATAGAAGGGTACGAAGACGTGGGAGTGAGTAGGCACATGCTAATTGGGCGGGCACATGCGCGCCTGTGCGCATACATAGTGGCGATGATCTACGACTCACTCTATACGCTGTTCTCACAGATCACTCACCACGAGCTGAGCGTACGAGTACTTCTTTAGGTTGGAGAGCATGATGAGACAGTTGTTAGAACGCTTCATGTCAATCTGCATGCATGGCATGGCATGGCATGGCCCATCAGAAAGGCAGGCAGCAGCCGCAGCAGCCCAGGGGGATTAGTAAAACTTGTTGTGAGACATCTCAAAACAAATCTACTTTCACGCTTCATGTCAATCTGCATGGCATGGCCCATCAGAGCGGAGAGGCAGCAGCAGCAGCGCCAGGGAATGAGGAAGCTGAGAAGCAGCAGGAATCAGCGAAACGAGATAACGCATGACAGAAGCAGGCAGGGCACAGGCACACAGTGTAGCAGGAAGGGTTCGGACGGGGTGAGAGTTAAGGGGGGAGAGGGGAGATGGGCAGAGAAGGTGGGTGGGTGGGGGGGAGGGGGGCAAAAGCAAAGCTGGAGGGAGGGAGTGGGGCAAAAGCACACCTGTGGGTTGATGGGGAAAAAGGCGAGAGCAAGACCCACCAGGGTGACCTTCTCCACTTTGGCTGTCTCCTGCTTCTTCGCCTTGACCACCTTGGGTGGCGGCGCTGCCGAGAAGAGGTCCTCCAGCTCCTCCAGATTCAGCTCCAGGTTGCTGATGGGGGGAGAGGGGAGAGGGGAGAGGGGAAAGGGGAGAGGGGAGAGGGGAGAGGGGAGAGGGGAGAGGGGAGAGGGGAGAGGGGAGAGGGGAGAGGGGAGAGGGGAGAGGGGGTGATAAAATACAGAGGTGAAATTTTAGTCGCCTCTGAAGTAACCGAGCTGCTGAGAAGAGGTCCTCCAGCTCCTCCAGATTCAGCTCCAGGTTGCTGCCAGTGGAGGGTGGGTGGGGGAAAGGGGGGGGGGGGGGGGGGGGGCATGTGGAGATAAGGTACACACCACAGGGTGTCGGCGAGCAAGGGGGGATCAGGTTTGAAGGCACCACAGAAGAGGCACTCCGGCTCCTCCAGATTCAGCTGCAGGGTGCTGTCGGGAGGAGGGGGCATGTGGAGGATCCTGTCACGTGAAGGGTGATGGCGTGTGACGAGGGGAGGGGGGATGGAGGATGGGGGATGGGGGAATGGAAGGGGGCATGTGAGGGGGGAGAGAAGGTAAAGCTTGCTTGTGAGGGGAAGGGTAGGGACTTGGGGTGTGTGGGTGCACATGGGAGGGAAGGGGTGCAGATGGGGTGGATTGAGGAAGGAGATGGAGACGATGACGATCTAGTGCCTGCCTGGTTCTTATACCAAGTCGTGTGACAAGCTAAAGCTGCACGGTAATCACAGCAGCAGCAGCAGCAGCAGCAGCAGCAGCAGCAGCAGCAGCAGCAGGAGCAGCAGGAGCAGCAGGAGCAGCAGGAGCAGCGTCTCACGTACACAGTGCTTTCTGGGTCTCTCTGCGACACCGCCCACAGACTATCCTCCACAGGCCGCACCACCTTGCCCCAGTAGAACGACTTGAGGGGCGTCTTCCTCACAACAGCAACCGGAGCAGCAACACCAGAATGCTGCTGGTAGTGCCCCACACCCGCCCCTCTCCCAGCCCCTGGGGGAGGAGGCGGGGGAATCTTTCCCCCAGGGGGAGGTGGGGGCGGGGGACCTTTGAATCCAGGGGGAGGGGGAGGAGGAGGGGCACCTGGGGGACCTCTTGGTGCGCCAGGGGGGGGAGGGGGGGGTGGGGGACCAGGGGGACCCCGGCCTCCAGGAGGGGGTGGGGGAGGGGGAGGAGCGCCCCTGCCAGGGGGAGGGGGAGGAGGGGGAGGTGCACCCCTCCCAGGTGGGGGAGGAGGAGGGGGAGCTCCAGGAGGTGGGGGAGGAGGGGGAGGCGCCCCAGGTGGGCAAGGGGGTGGGGGAGGAGGCGGGGGAGCGCCAGGAGGTGGAGGGGGTGGAGGGGGGGCGGAGGGGTGGCAGAACCGGGAGGAGGTGGGGGAGGCGGTGGGGGAGGAGGTGGGGGGGCGGGGGGTGGAGGAGGGGGAGGTGGCACAGCGCTTCCAGGGTAAGCAGGCGGAGGTGGAGCAGGGGGTGGTGGAACTGGGGGAGGTGGAGCGGCAGCGAGAGAAGGAGGTGGTGGCTGCGCTCCTGTCAAAGGTGCTGGAGGGGGAGGATCGAATGGAGCTGAAGATCCGGCAGCAGAGGAAAGAGGCGGGGGGGAGCAGGAAGAGGCACTGTTGGCGGTAGGGGAAGCTGCGTTTCCAGCTGCAGGAGCACTCGCTGTGCCTAAACCACCAATGCCACCTGCACAACCAGCAGCAGCACCAGCAGCAGCACCAGCAGCAGCACCAGCAGCAGCACCACCACCAGCACGAGCAGTGGCAGTATCAGCATCAGCATCTCCAACAGCGGACGGAACAGGCGCCCTAGAAATCAGAGCCGCTGCTGCAACAGCAGCAGCGTTTGGTGTCTGCACCTTATTCGGCGTCGTCAGCCCCAAATCACCGCCACTAAACCGCCTGCTGAAACTCCGCACCAGCCCCGACCCCTTCCTCTCCCCCCCTCCCTCCATCCCCAACCCTCCTGTCGAGTGTCGCTTTCCACTCCCTCTCCCACCACCCCCCGCACCACCACCACCTCCCTCACCTCCGCCTTCTCCTCCTGCCAGCATATGACCAGGTGGGGGCCACACCACATGCAGCTTATGCCTCGCAGACAAGCACTCATCTATCACTGGCCTAGGCGACCCATACTGCGCCCCTACCCCTGCCCCTGCCCCTGCCCCTCCGTCCTTCTCCTTGTCCCTCTCAAGCTCCTGCTGCAGGCTCAGTCTCAGCTGCGCTACTCTGCCCGATCTGCTTCCCAGAGCCGCCAGCTCCGAGCCCAGTCTCGGCGCGGAGGGACTATCCAGGGACCCCTTGTCTCCCTTGAAGCTCCCTCCCCGGCTGCCCAGAGACGCACACCGCTGCCGCACCGACAAGGGGGCTCCTCCGTCCATGCTGCTGCTGTCATCGTCCTCATCGTTGTCCTCCCCATCGTTATTGCCCCTGTCCATGTCCCCTGCGCTGCCAGGGATCTTGAGTGACAGGCCCTTCACAAACTCCCTCCGAGACTTCTTGCGAAATTCGTTCCACTCGGCAGGCGATCCCAGCGTGAGCTCTGCTCCTGTCTCTTTCTCCGACCCCCCCCCTGCACCTTCCACACTTGCCGCACTTCCCACCTTACCCTCTGCTGGCCCTTCAGAGCTACCTCCCCTGCCTCCTACAGCTTCTACCCTCGTCCCTCTCGACCTCCCTCCTCCCAATTCCTTCCTCCCAATCGTCTCCTTCCCTCGGCCTTCCCCCCCCCTGTCCAGATCACTTAGTCTCAACCTCGCCTCGCCTCGTGCCGCCAGCACAGCAGGCAGAGGGAGGTCTTGCTCGAAGCGGAACAGTGAGGGGCCGCCGCCAGCCAAGTCTAGTGGCAGGAGAGCCAGCTCATGCCCGTGCTTGTGGCTGCGTGCCTGCTTCAGCCTGTGCCGGGGAATTTCCAGCTGCCCTTTCAGCGCGTGTAACCCTTCCCTTGCGCAGCCCGAACTGCCGGCTTGACTGCCAATGCCACTGCCAGCACCACCCCCAGTGCCAGAACCTGCTGTTTTCCGGCTCCCTGTGCCTTGCCCTGATCCCCCCTCGATTGACCTCCGACCAGGATCCTTCCAGCCAAACCCTAGAACCAAGCCAGCGTTTCCTCTAGCACTAGCCAAGTCCCCATGCTCATTCACACTCGATGATGCAAACCTTATGACACCATTGCGATGGTTACCAGTACCACTTACCACCCCTCCTCTCACTCCTCCCTTCCCTCTTGCATCCCCACCCCCACTACCAGCACCAGCACCACCACCCGCACTAGCACCACCAGCACCACCAGCACCACCAGCAGCCGCACCAATCCTGCCTATGACCCGCAGCATCCGCAGCTGCTTCTCCCGTGAGTCCTCCTCCCCCACGCCCTCCTCCTCCTCGTCGTCCTCCTCCTCTTCCTCCTCCACCGATCCCCCAAACAGCACTCCCACACTCAGCGCACTCAGATCGACCTTCCCCAGTCTGCCAGTCTGCACGGCTGCTCTTTGTGCCCTCTGCCTAGCCCGGGTTATACTGGCACTACCGCTCCTACCACCACCACCACCACCACCGCCGCCGCCACTAGAATTGCGAGGAGAGGCGAGAAGCTTATGAGCTGCAGGGGGTGATGAGCTGGACTCCCTTGTGGATCCCCGCGAGCCAATCACGTCGCTGGAGAGAGTCGGTGACGTGTCACGAGATGATGACTCATCACCTGCCTCATCCACAAGCTTGGAGAAGTCCGCCTCCTCATCCTCCAAGTCATGAACCGACCACTTGGGTCGCGCCACGTGTTGCTTATCATTTGCTGCCGTGGACACGGACGAAACAGGAGAGAGCGTGCAGGAGAAGTCACTGGAACCACCAGCACTTAGCCCGCTTCGCAGCAGCTGCACTTGGGGATGAATGGGCTTGCCAGGAAACCCACTCGCTCTAGGCGAGCACACAGCAGACGCACATAAAGACCCGGCGAGCGACCCTAGCACCGAGCCCGAACCCGAACCAATCGACGCGGCGAGAGAAGGCGGAATCGAAAAGCCAGGAGAGGCAGGCATTCCTCCTCCTCCTCCTCCTGCACCTTCCCCCAGGAACTGCAGGCGCAGGTGGTCCAGCGCTCTGCGGCTGTCGTCCGAGGACCAGTTGGAGGACTGGAAGAGCGCAGCGAGCTTCTGAAAGTCCTCGTCGGGGAGCGGGGAGGGCGAGGGAGGCGTGCCGAAGGAGAGCTGTCGGGAGGAATCGCTGTGGAGGAACATGGGCAACGGGGTGGGCGGGATGTCATGGTCGGGCTCGGCGAATAGCAGCTGAGGTGGGGATGGAGGGAGAGAGGGCGGGAAAGGGGAAGAGGAGAGCAAGATTGGGGGTCAGCGTTGGGGAGAGGGGAGCAACATGGCCGGACGAACGAGAACTGGTGGGAGGAACATGGGCAATGGGGTGGGTGGGATGTTGTGGTTGGGCTCGGCGAACAGCAGCAGAGGTAGTGGCAGAGGGAGGGAGGGAAAGGGGAAGAGGAGGGCGGATTGGCGGTTAAGACTTGGTGATTGAGCAGGTTCGTTAGCAGCTTTTTTTACGGAGTGGACAATGAGGAGGAAGGGAAGGGGGGGGGGGGGGGGGGAGGAAGGAGAAGGACACGGGGCGAATTTCTGTGAGAAAAGACACCGGAGCAGCAGCAACAAACCGCTGGTGTGGTGTGAGTAGTGAAACTACTGCCCGCTGCTCTCACCTCGACTCGGAAGTCGTCCGAAAAGCTTTTGGTGGCGTCCCAGAGGATGTCGAGCTGCGAGCGCTCGAGCAGCAGCATGTTGGAGCGCAGGAAGGCGGTGCTGAAGACGAGCTGGAACATGATGTCCTCGCCCTCGCCCTCCTCGTCCACGTGCACGCACTCCAGCAGCACGTCGCCCTGCAGCGCCGCCTGCACGTTCACCTTCACCACCTCCGTGTCGCCCTGGGGGAGGGGGGAGGGAGAACAGGACACACGGGGAGGTATACATGGAGGGGGCAAGACACGGGAAGATGCACTTCAGCAGCACGCTGCCCTGCAGCGCCGCCTGCACGTTCACCTTCACCACCTCCGTGTCGCCCTGGTGAGGGGGGGGGGAGGCGGGGGGGTTGTGGCGAACAGGACGCGCGGGGAGATAAACATGGAGGGGGGCTGCCTGCACGTCCACCACTGTGCCGGCCTGGAGGACACACAAGTTGACAAAGGGTTTCTCATTGGACTGGGATTCTCATCGCCCCTACCTGCTTGTAGTGCGGAATGAACCCCCCCTTCCCTCCTGCTCTAAGAGTTGCCTGTGGCGTCCCCCATCCCCCCCCGGCATTCCCCACCCTCCCCCCCTCGGGGTCCCCCACCCTCCTCCAGGCGTCCCTGGCGTCCCCATCCCCCCCCTGGCGTCCCTGGCGTCCCCCATCCTCCCCCTGGCGTCCCTGGCGTCCCCCACCCCCCCCTTGGCGTGCCCCATCCTCCCCCCGACGTCCCCCACCCCCTCTGTGGCCGCTTCAGGCTGTGAAACAGCAGCGTCGTTTCCCTATGGGGACTATCCGGCACCCGCCCGTAGATCTTGATCGCGGGGCGGCAGCCGCCCGCAGAATCGAATCTGGGAACAGTGCGCAGGATGATGCAGTCGAGCTGTACTACGCGCTCCTCTGGAGGCCACGTGGGCATACTGCTGCGCCGGCTCACATACTCGAGATACCGCACCTTTGTGGGGGGGAGGAAGATGGGGGGGAGGAGGGGGGGAGGGGGGGAAGAAGAGGGACGACAGGCAAGGAAGGAGGGAAAAGGAGGAAGGCTTCTGGAGGAGGACGAGGTTACATGGATGAGGGAAAGAGAGTGTCTGGCAGGCAGGATGGAGGGGATGGCAACGAGCTAAGGACTTGTCAGTTAGAAAGCTGAGGACAGCAGGGGTAGCTGATAAGAGCTGAGCTGACCTGCGAGGCAGTGGGGTCGACAGGGTACAGCAGCTTCAGCAGTTCCCGTGACCCTCCCCCCTTCTGCACTGCCAGCAGCGTGTCCTCCTCGCTCATGGCTGTGAGCGCGCCCTGCTTGCGGTACACCAGGAAGCACGCGATCATGAAGGACAGCACGGGCCACCCGCCGTGCTCGCAGTGAAAAAGCACCACGTTCTGCTCGTGGTGGTGCTGCCGCTGGTGCTGGTGCTGCTGGTGCTGCTCGTGATGCTGATGATGGCGGTGGTGGGTGTGGGTGTGGTTGTAATGGTGATAGTTATTATGGTGGTGGTGCTGGCGGTGGTTTTGGTGGTGGTTTGTGGAATGGGGCACCGTTCTCGGGGAGGGAGAAGGAGACGGAGAAGGAGGCGGAAAACGCAGGGTGAAAGGAGGTGACGACGCAGGCAGCTGCAAGGTCTCACCGTTCCGCACCTCCGCGTCTCCATCCTTTCCCCTGACCGTACACGTATCCTCACGCCAATCCGCAAGCGCATCCAACTCCGCATCTCCACACCCTCTACCACCATCCTCCCCTATCCGAGCAGCAGCAGCAGCGGCAGCAGCAGCAGCACCGCCGCCAGCGGCAGGGCTCAGGTGCTGAAAATCGTCCACCTCGTCCGCATGCTTCAGCCAGCTATCACTGCTCCTTAAAAAATGCTGCACCATATCCAGCGGCAAAATAGGGCACCCCTCATAGTGCCTTGGGTACTCCAGCACCGTCATCTCAAACTCCGCCAGGACCTCCGCCAGCAGGCTCCGCCGCGAGGACGAGGCGGACGGGTGGCCCTGGCGGAAGTTGAAGACGAGGAAGGAGCCCTCGGGGTAGGCTTCGTTGAGCTCCGCCGCCACCTGGTGCAGGTACGCGCGGTAGGTCTCCTTGTCGTGCGCCTCCGTGGAGTTGCACGAGGAGAAGACTGCGGTGGGGCGGGGTTAGTATGGTTCGGGACGGGACAGGACGGGGATTGGGACGGGGATGGGGAGGGGACGATGGGGTAAGAAAGGTGAAGGGAGAGTTTTAAGAGGACCGTTTGCATGTCCTTGAAGGCTCTAATCTGGTGTGGACAGTGACGGGTGGTGTGTGTATCACATGCGTGTGCGAAGTTGCACGAGGGGAAGCGAGGGAAGGGAAGAACGGAGAGCCAGACAAGTTGCGAATAATTTGCGAGTAAGGGTAGGTCACCCTGCGAGTGACCTTGGAATCCACGGATTGCAGAATGAGGGTGCGACGGAGGATCGACGGGGGTACCAGTGACAAGGACAACCGGCGAACGACGACGGTTACCTATTAAAGTCATTACCAATGACACTAGTCAACACTTTGAATACGAGCTCGAATGCTGACTCTAACAGTATCAGGCTACTGACGAAACGAATGCCCTTAATCCGGACAGAGAACGAGGCGGTGAGCACGCACCATACACGCGTTCGCTCACGCAGAAGAGCCCTCTTGGTGCCTGCTTCACCGGCTTCGGGCCCCATAGCCTGCGAATAATCTGAGCCATGGCTCCTCTGCCTTTCCGGCAATTAGCCAGCTACCACGACGACATCTCTGAGCGGATTAGATCAGCACTAAGACTTCTGAACGTCCTGGAGAACCTTAGGGTGACCTTCGGGTAATTGCTTCCAGTCCGAAAAGATTGGTCCATTGATGCGGCGAATGCCAGAATCCCCGGTATTTGCTACGTTCCTGTTAGAAATCCCACATCTACAGTCGTTCCGCATATTCTGCTGCACATGACTCGAGAAGTTCTAGGTCAGCCTGTTTCGTTGCGTCACTCACTCGTTTTAGGACGGCTAGTACTGGACAAATAAAGGAAAGGGTTACAGTACCCAACACAAGGACAAGGACGACAGAGCCCCGGGAATGTCAAACCAGGCAGAGCAGGGAATGAGGGATTGTTTGTGCTGGGTGGTGCTGCGGCTCGCCTCGCACAGAAAACCAGAAACCAAGGGTAACCCAGCAAGAGAGTGACGTGGCGCGCGACAACCTTGAGTTTGGTTGGGGAGAGGAGAGTGGCTGGCGACTGGAAAAAACGCTCAACCAGCGAGTATTCCAAGCGCCACCTTGGGGTTGACAAGCAGCCTTGCGGGTGCGCGACTTTGCGGCGTCTGTGCGACAGCAGTAAGGCGGTTTCCGACCGTCGCCCAACCAGCGACGCTGCCAGCAATTTTGCAGGGTATGATTATAGATCCAGTTCAGGCACTCTTTTGATTGCGACGACTTCGCCAAGACAGAAGCGGAGTGGTTGCGAAAGGCGATTGGCCGAATTGTGTCGTCGGAGGTGTCGCCTCACCAAAGGAGTCTCCAAAAGTCCCACCGTCCACGTCACCCGGAGCTCGGCGACAGTGCACATGGATATTGTCCCATAACGGTTGTTGCGGTGAAGGAAAAATATCTGGCAGCCTACAAGTTGTTCCACTCAGCAAATGGCCAGGGTTAGAAAATGTCTTTCAACTACACGTTCTTAGATCAAAACGTCCTCTTTAAAGCATCTATTCCTTTACCTATCACCACCATGGTATTAGTCTACTGAGCAGTTGCATATTTGACAATTCGTCTACAAATATGATGAACTACTTACACAAAAAGGCTTATCTGATCCATGTTGAGCTGCCTTGCCTTCATCCTCCAATATCCTCAACATTCAAATGCACATGCTGCTTCACAGGCGAGACTGCATACCGCCAGCCACCACAATAGTCTCGCCCGTGATATAAGCTGCATCTGCTGACGCCAAGAAGGCCACAGCTCCAGCAATATCCGACGGAGAGCCCAGCCTTTTCAGCAACGTGCGCTCCTCTGTCTCCTGCCTGATCCCCTCATTCTCCACCAGGTAACTCGCAAATTGAGTAGGAACAATCCCTGGAGCAACGCAGTTCACCCGCACTTCAGGCGCCAGCTCGACAGCCAGGGCCTTGGTCAGGCCCAGTAGAGCAGTCTTGGTCACAGAATACATGCCGAGCATGGCAATCGGGTTGAATCCGGCGATGGACGCGACGAAAACGATGTTCCCGCCTGGTGGGATATGAGGAGCCATCTCCTTCACCAGAAGAACTGCTGCCTTGATGTTGGTATCTAACAGCTTATCCAACTCACGCTCTCCCATGTCCAGGATTGGTCCTAACGTCGGATTAACGGCTGCGTTGGACACGAAAATATCCACGCGACCGTACTTGGCAACCACAGCTTCAGCCAATTTCCGGCGGTGCTCCGCGCTTCCCACGTGGCACACCATCCCCATCGCGTCAATACCCTTTTCTCGAAGCGTTGCGACGGCTGTGTCGACGTTAGACTGCTTACGCGATGAGACGACCACTGATGCGCCTTCTTGGCCAAGACGTTCCACTATTCCGAGGCCGATTCCCGCGGTCGATGCCGTCACAACGGCGACCTTTCCCTGCAAGCGCTTCGCCATAGCAGCTGCTGATGTCGCCGCAGAAGAACGAGTAAACGAGAACTGCAGTTGTTGGTTGAACCGTCCTACACCATGGCAATCCTGGACTAGTGAAATCTGCCCGCGGTTTTGCTGTGGCTGCGCTTATGCCGTAGAGGAGCAGCAGAAGTAACCCACCGTATTCTTTTCCCTGTATCGAAATGGAGGTGATGCATGTTTTGGGGGAGACTTTCCTTATTCCTCGATGCCTTCTTAGCGCGTACGCTCCGGAACCCTGCGAATTTGCGACTGGGGTGCAAACAGTCGAACTCATGAAACCCTCGCACAGGGTCGCGAATTAGTTGCGAATTCATTCTGATGTCCTTGTTTGACAGGGTCAGGCGAAAATAGTCAGGACGAATGGTTACCAAAGATTTTTCGCAAAGGGTTTTCGGCGGGTTTTGCCGCGCAAAAGCCACTGGACAGAAAGTGGGTCCGCGCGAACCTCGACTTCCCCCGCCCGTCAGATCCTTCCCCTAACCAAGCGTGTGCCCTTCCCCTCCCGATGGCGCCCCTCCCCGCGCCCTCCCCACCCCCTTCTTCCGCACTTCCCCCCACCTCCCTCTCTCTCCTCCTCCTCACCCTTCTTCTAGCTCGCCTATCTCTTCCTCTCTTTCTTTTCCCCTCCACCCGCCGCTCCTCCCGCTCTTCCGTTGGCGTGGACTTAGGCCCCTCCTCGTCCCGCAATCTCCTTTACTCTAGGGTTATCTCTCGGGTCCCTCCCCCCGGTTTCGTAGTAGATTTCTGTGCATAGAGGCATCATGGTGTCGGGCAGCGGAGTGGTGAAGCAGACCATCGTGGTGGACGCGCGCCACCACATGCTGGGCCGCCTCGCGTCCATCGTCGCTAAGGAGCTCCTTAACGGCCAGCATGTCGTAAGTAGCAGGCGCTCTCTTAAAAGGCCATTCCGTCCGAACGGCTTAGTTGCCAGGCGTTCGGGGGACGCGTCGCGACTGGGATAGCCTTAAAGCCCGAAAAAAGAAAAGAAAAGAAAAGGGACACGTCGCGACGCGACGCCATGTCCCGGATCCACCCTGGGGATTAGTTTTCCGGGGCTTAGACCTCATCTGCGTCCTGCGCGCCGTTCGCTATGTGCCATTCAAACTCCAGCCTCCCCGGCCTTGAGTTTCCGCGCACTCCCCTTCCGCATCAGGCTTCACGCTTTGGAAGTCGGCATCGTGACAGCGCCGCGACACTGACCAAAAGCGTCACGTGCGTATGGTGAACCCATAAATCGCGTGACATCGCATTCCTGAACCCATGTCACGTCCCTCCGCTCCCCCCGCTCCCCCCCGTTCGCCCCGATCGGCCTGCTTCCCCCCGCAGGTGGTGGTGCGGTGCGAGGACATCTGCCTGTCGGGCGGGCTGGTGCGCCAGAAGATGAAGTACCTGCGCTTCCTGCGCAAGCGCATGAACACCAAGCCCTCCAAGGGCCCCTTCCACTTCCGTGCGCCCTCCAAGATCTTCTGGCGCACTCTCCGCGGGTAATACGCTCCGTCTTTCTGCTTTTTTCACCTCGTCGCTCTCGTTGCGCAAGTCCTTCTGCGAGCTGCGGTATCGAGTCCATTCGTCTTTTCGCTTCTTGTTGGCGGACGGTTGCCTGAGCAACTCTCAGAAGGCGGGGTTTGCGAGCCATTGGGTCGTTGGGGACATCGGGGTCGTCGGGGTCATCGGGGTCCAACTGCTTGGATTGGTTTGTCGGCTGGTATCTTTGTGTTGAGGAGGTAGGCCGTTGTTGCGACCAGGCGAGTGTTAAGAAGCGAGGCGATGTAGATGCTCATGGAAGTCTGGAGATTCACTTGGCACGGGAGTTGCTCGAGGGGGTCAGGCTGTTGTCGAGAGTGGGTCAGGGTTTCGCGCGTAGGGCACGTTTGTGGAAACGAAATGGGGAGACGGGAGTGGGGAGTGTTGTACGAGCGAAGCTGGCGGTCTGTGCAGCTGCGATTAACCCATATGGCAGACTGTGGCGTCGCTAATTACCATCACTTTTGCCGTTTCGGCTTCTTCTCTTTTCCGCGCCAGTTCCCACCCGCATTTCGCTCCCGCGTGCTCATTCCCTCCCCCTCCCCTCCCCCGTTCCCGTCCCCTCCCCCCACCCGCCTATCAGCATGATTCCGCACAAGATTCCCCGCGGTGCGGCTGCCCTGGACCGCCTGAAGGCCTTCGAGGGCATCCCCGCGCCGTACGACAAGATGAAGCGAGTCGTCATCCCCGACGCGCTCAAGTAAGCTGCCCGCGCTCGCGTCTTCCATGTGGACTTGATAGCCTGCAGAGTTGAGCTGAGTTGCTCACTTTTGCTCCATACCAAGCTCTTCACCCCCTCCTCTTGCCTCCCCCCCTCCCCCTCTCTCCCCCCCCCTACCAAGCTAACTTGCCTCCCCCTCCTCTTTCCTCCCCCTCCCCCCCCCCCCCTCTCTCTCCCCCCCCCTACCAAGCTAACTTGCCTCCCCCTCCTCTTTCCTCCCCTCCCCCTCCCCCCTCTCTCCCCATTCCGTGCATCCGTCCCTCCGTTCTCTCCCCCTCTTCCTCCGTCTCACTTTCTCTCCGTCTCGCCTTCCACAGGGTGCTGCGGTTGAAGCCGGGCCACAAGTTCTGTCTGTTGGGCCACCTCTCGCATGAGGTTGGCTGGCACTACTGGGATGTTGTCAAGGTGAGACTCTGCTTCTTAAAGTATACTCGACACTTCAACACTGCTAACCACCAACCACCCCCTGCTTGCCCAGGGCTTGACGTTATAGCACGCTCTTTTTACTCTCGCCCTCTCTGTTCGTTAGACGTTTTTTTCGCTTAGGACGTTCAAGGGTTGTCTAGAATGCTGGACCTATGTTGTACTCTCGTTCATGCTTTGGATTTCCCCTCCCCCTTGTTTTTTTCGCAGGAGCTGGAGGCGAAGCGCAAGGCGGATGCTGCGGACTTCTACAAGGAGAAGAAGGCAACAAACAAGGCCCGTGCGGATGCTGTGAAGAGTGTGTTGGCAGCTGATGCTGACCTTAGTGCCACGTTGGCAGCTGTTAGCTATTAGGTTGCTTGTTGCATAATTGAGATGAGCAGATGAGCAACCCTTCAAGCTATAAAGAAAGGCGTTTGAAGTAGTTCATAATATCACTTCAATTTTGTTTTGAGGTATAGTGTCCTACTCTAGTGGAGGGTGGGATGGAAATGAGTTTGGGCGTCACAAGAGACGTAGTTCTTGTAGGTACGTCTCTGTATTGAAGATTAATGAAGCATTTGTGATGTATTTTTCTCTAACCTCGTTTCCGACGTGGCGTGTCGTGGCACTGAGCCCAGGCCACGCAAAGAGGGGCTGCCAGTTTTTGTCGAGGCGCATGCAGCTGCCCTCAGCATGTCATCACATCACGCGCGTCGGCTCCCCCTCGAGTTCTCCCTGCCAAATTTCGCAATGTCCGAATCAATTCCACCAAATTCCTCATCAGCCCACCCACCCCGCAGCTGATTCACCTCCATGCCAAATTACAGACAGCAACGTTGGCAGCGTGTCTGATCATGGCTCCTTATTCAGCCGCCTGCCACACTCGCCCGCCCACATGTTCGCCGTGCCGTTTAGGTGAGTCCGCAGAGCCATTTCTTTTATACAGGAATGTGGGTTCCGTTATTCCAGCCTAAGACCACACACACGTGGGCGGATGCCTTTGATCCAGCCAGCCTTCCCCTTGCTTGACTCGACTCGTGTTCTTTCCCGGATCCTACTTGCCAGTAATAACTACATGCTTGCTGCATTGCATGCGAAGCTACATCAAGCTACCAAGAGCTTTCAGAAATTCTCCTCAGATTATAATTACCAGCAGCAGTAGTACAGTAGCATTACTACAAGGAGCAGCGTCCGACGCTGAGTCGGATCGCCATCATGCTGACTGTCGCGCCGTTCGTCACGTCGCTGGTAACATCGGCGCTCATCTTCCTCGTCCTCCTCAACCTCTTCGCCATCCTCGTCCGCCGCCCCGCCAACTTCGCCATCTACTTCCCCAAGCGCATCCTGCGCGGCCATGGGCCCCCGCCCCTCTCCGAGATCAGCGCGTTAGAGTGGCTCAGGCGCGTGCTCCGATGCACGGAGCAGGACGTGGTTGCGTCAGCGGGGCTCGACGCGGCGGTTTATCTTCGCATACAGCACATGTGCCTGCTAATCGTGCTGTGGCACGCCGCGTACTGCCTTCCCGTGCTCATACCGCTGTGCGCCACTGGGGGGTTTTACTCCTCTTTCAATGCGCAGCGGCCGCCGGGGGAGCAGATCCAGTACTCCGCGCTCGACGCCATCGCCATGGGGAATGTACCCGTGAGTACTTTTAGCAACTTGGCTCAGGCAACTTGGCTAAAAAAGGCTTAAATTTCCAGGCTCAACTTGCTTCATGTTGGCAGATTCTGATTGTTTACCAAACCAGATTCTGAGGTATAGTGTCAACACAACAATACTGCTGTGTTCAAGCTCAGCCTCAGTAATTCGATATTATTCAACGTGTTTCAAAACTAATCGAAGCAATCAATCAACCCGCACCTGTAGACACGCGCTGACTCACTTCTGTCGTCGCGGTGTGCTAAATTTTGCTACCGATGGATTGATTTTGCACCTAATCCACGATGAATCGGCTTTCAAGCTTGCACTCTATCCCCAGCGTTGAAACGACTCCCCATCTCCATACTGATTACTGACCTGTAGTGTAGTGATGTGTATGTACAGAAATCTGTATTTCTCATTATGAAATTCTGTTCGTCTCCCATACATACAGCCTAATGACTCTCGCCTGTGGGCCTTCTTCGTGGGCGCCTACTGGTCGGCGCTGGGCACACTGGTCATCCTGCACCGCACGTACCGCCACGTCAGCTGGCTGCGCGCCAAGCAGAGGGAGGAGGACCCGGAGGTGCGGGTGGAGGAGTACGCAGTGCTGCTGCGCAACATCCCCCCGCATTGCTGCCGACCCAAGAGTACCGCATTGACTGGCGCTGCTGGTGCGGGTGGTGCGGGTGGTGCTGCTGGCGGTGCGGTGGCTAGTAGCAGCGCTTCCCCTGGCAGCAGCAGCAGACCTGCTGCTGTGTCTGCGCCGCTGCTGTCGCCGCAGCCAGGTGCTGAGGCGGGGGTGAGAAGGGAAGGCGCTCCTGCTGGTAGTGTTATGGATGATGATGGTGGTGGTGGTGGTGATGGGGAGGAGGATTTGTGGAGGAATGAAGAGGAGGATGGGGTCAGGGAAGGGAGGCCACCAGAGCAGCAGCAGCCCCTTCAGTCACAGAAACTTGGGTTGGACGAGGAGATGGGCGTTGGGGAGGGAGGTGGTGGAGGAGGGATAAAAGGAAGGGGAGGAGGGAAAAGGGGAGGAGGTGGTGGTGGTGCTGCTGCTGCTGCTGCTGCTGCTGCTGGTGCTGGTGCTGGTGCTGGTGCTGGTGCTGGTGGTGCTGGTGGTGCTGGTGGTGCTGGTGGTGCTGGTGGTGCTGGTGGTGGTGGTGGTGGTGGTGGTGGTGGTGGTGGTGGTGGTGGTGGTGGTGGTGGTGGTGGTGTGAGGCCTGTCAAGTCCAGGCGGAGGGAAGCAGCAGAAGCGGTTGATGCATTGTTCGGGTGGCTGTACGGGGAAGCATACTCTGGCGTCAACATACTGCGATCACTGGATAAGGCACGTATCTCACTGCAGTGATTTCAGGCATAAATTATACCATACAAAGAACTCCTTTTTGGCTACAAAGTTTCTTTCACTGGGTCCCTCGGTCTGTAAATTCTTCTCTACCATCTCCCTCCTTCTCCTCCGCCCCCCACCCCATCCCCCGCCGTTCCCCCCCCAATCCCTCCCTGTTCCTCATCAGCCGGACTCTGCACTACGAGAGCCAAACACGGCGCAGGGACAGCTGCTGCTGCTGCAGGGCCTTCCTATGCCTTCCACTCCCCCCAAATCCAGTTTAGCCCAGTGCCCCCTTCCTTCTCTCCCCTCTCCCCTCTCCCCTCTCCCCTCTCCCCTCTCCCCTCTCCCCTCTCCCCTCTCCCCTCTCCCCTCTCCCCTCTCCCCTCTCCCCTCTCCCCTCTCCCATCTCCCCTCTCTCCTCTCCCCTTCCCCTCTCCGCTCTCCCCTCTCCCCTCTCCGCTCTCCCCTCTCCCCCCATCAGCCGCGCACTGCGCTGCAAGAGCTGAACACGGCGCGGCGGCAGCTGCTGCGCGCCAAGGCCAAGTGGGTGCAGGCGCAGCGGACCGCCGGCAGAGTGGCAGAGCCCGCAGCAGGAGGGGTGATGATCTCGCATGGAGGGGTCATGGAACGACGGCGAGAAGGGGGGGGGGAGGGACGGGAGGGAGGAGGACGGGTGGAAGAGTCAAGGGAAGACGAGGAGTTAAGGGTAGAGCCGGAGGTGTTGGTTGGAACACAGGGGGCGGTAGGTCGGGCGTCGCGCTTTGGATGGTGGCCCAAGGGGTGGGGGCGGCAGGGGAGCGACACTGGGGAGGGAATTGCAGGGAGGGGCAGGGGAAGGAGCATGGGAGGGAGTGGTGCTAGTAGTGGTAGTTGTTGTGGTGGCAGTGGTGGTAGTGGCAGTAGGAGGGGAGGGGAGGCGGAGCGGCCGCAGCACCGGACGGGGTGGCTGGGGCTGTATGGGGAGTGGGTGGACTCGATTCGGTTCTATGAGGAAGAAGTGAGGCGCAAGGAGAGGGAGCTGAGGCGCACACAGAGACACGCGTGGGCTGGGAGTGTCAGTCGTGGTGCTGCTGCTGGTGCTTCTGCTGTTGCCGGTGGGGCTGCTCGTGGTGGTGCTGGTGGTGCTGCTGGTGGCGTAGTGGGGAGGTCAGTACCATCCTGGCAGAAGCGGCTGAGGAGAGGGAGTGAGGAGGAGATGGAGAGTCAGCTAGAGTATGCAGTGGAAGGGGAAGTGGAAGGGGAGGGACGATGTGGGAGAGGGGCTGGGTCTGCAGCATGGGGTAACGTTGACATTCCCGGACGGCCAGGGGTGAAGGAAGGGACGAGGAAGGGGAGTGTGGAAGGGACGAGGAAGGGGAGTGTGGAAGGGACGAGGAAGGGGAGTGTGGAAGGGACGAGGAAGGGGAGTGTGGAAGGGACGAGGAAGGGGAGTGTGGAAGGGATACAGGAGGAGCAAGAGAGGGGGGAGGAGGAGGGGGGGAAGGAGAGGGGCGAGGAGGAGGGAGGGGAGGAGGAGGAGGAGGAGGAAGGAGGGGAGGAAAGGGGAGGGACCAAGGGGACTCTGAGCGGGCGTGTGGGGCGGATGGCGAAACGGCCGGCAGAAAAGGCAGTGACAGCAGCGGCTGGGATGACAGTCCCAGTGGTGGGCGGGGTGGCACGGGGGGTGGAGAAGATGGTGATGACGTCAGCGGGCATTGTGGTGTTTGGTGACCGGGTGATGGCGGCAGTGGCGGCCCAGACGCTCCATGCTGACAACGCCATGCTGTGGCAGACGGAGCAGGTGGGTGGGGAAGGCAAACAAGAATGGGTGGGAGTCGGAGCAGGTGGGCGAGAAGGGGGAAGCAAGAGTGGGATGACATGTGGGTGATGGCGGCAGTGGCGGCCCAGACCCTGCATGCTGACAACGCCATGCTGTGGCAGACGGAGCTGGTCGGTTGGGGGAGGGAACCAAGAGTGGGTGATGGCATGTGGATGCTGATGTGCATGCTGATGTTGATGCTGATGTGGATGCTGATGTGGATGCTGTTGGGGATGCTGATGTGGATGATGGTGGGGATGCTGTTGTGGATGATGGTGTGGATGTTGATGGGGATGCTGATGTGGATGCTGATGTGGATGCTGATGTGGATGCTGATGTGGATGCTGATGGGGATGATGTCAGTTGGACTCCAAGGCGACTGTTTTACGCATCTGTTCAACTGTTGCTCACCACATCCAGTGCGCACGAACATGCAGCAGCAGCATATCACTAACTCAGCCCAAAGCGTCCTCTTCACCTTCATTAAAGCCCGACCGGCAGGTTGCACAATGGTACTGTTGAAGTGGTGGGGCGGCAGGTTACAATTGGTTGACGAGGAAAGAGATAAGCGAAATGTTTTTGCGAAACTTCATATTCGTCCACCTCGTGTTTGCGGGGGAGTTCCCAAGGGCTACGCAACCTGGCAGAGGTGTCAGGTTTGAGCCCCGTCATTTGGCAGGGGACTCACACCTGCCTCTTTGCCATGTTGCAGGGGGGGGTTTCGTGCCTGCGTTATTGCGCTAACAGCCCACATCTTTTTTTTTTTTTTTTTTTTTTTTTTGGTTTAGGGCAAGTTGAAAGGAAACGAACTCAACTATTGGGCTTCGGTTTCGCCCTTGTGCAATCAAACACACATTGGTACACTTACGCTAAACCACCTAAAAGACAAAAATTGTACGAGTAATTACCATTCGAGCACACTTTGTGCTTGTTCACCTCAATACTTGGCAGGGACGCAAACTTGCCAAGTTTGTCGAGGCACGGAGTTGAGGTGTTTGAGTCTCGTCAACCACTGCTGTGGGTGGGTTCGGTTACAGGTTCTCAAGATGCAGCATCTTGAGAAGAAGAGAGTTGCAACCTGCTGGTCGGGCTTTAATCCCCTCCCATGCCATGCCATCCCATCCCATGCCTTGCCTTGCTACACCCGCAGGCCCCAGAGCCCAACGACGTGCTGTGGGACAGCATCAGCATCTCGAGCGTGTCGTGCGCCATCAGGAGTGCGGCGGTCTACGTCCTCGTCTTCCTCACCATCTGCTTCTACATGGTCACTCGCACCACGCCACCCCATGCCACCCCATGCCACCCCATGCCACCCCATGCCATCCCATGCCACCCCATGCCACCCCATGCCACCCCATGCCACCCCTTGCCACCCCTTGCCATCCCCTTGCATAATGATATCACTCCGTCTCAAACGAGCACCTGCACACTTTTCTCTCACGCTGTACTCTTTGCTCTAGTAATCTTTCCTCATCCTTCCCTCATATTTCCCTCGTCCGTCCCTCGTCCGTCCCTCGTCTGTCCGCCATCCTCCTCTCATACTTGCTCCTCCCGCCCCTCGACTTTCCTTCCGTGAGGCAGATCCCCATCAGCTTCGTGTCGAGCCTCACCACGCTGCAAAACCTGGAGAAGTCGCTGCCATTCCTCAAGCCCATCATTGAACAGTGCGTGCTGCTGCTGCTGCTGACGATGATGATGATGATGATGATGATGATGATGATGATGATGATGATGATGATGATGACGATGACGATGACGATGACGATGACGATGACGATGACGATGACGATGACGATGACGATGACGATGACGATGACGATGACGATGACGATGACGATGACGATGACGATGACGATGACGATGACGATGACGATGACGATGACGATGATGATGATGATGATGATGATGATGATGATGATGATGATGATGATGATGATACTTCGGCTGCTTCTGCTTCTGCTGCTGCTGCTGCACAGGCAGATCGGCGTGGGAATGGGCGTACAATAGCACATGCACACATGCACATGGGAACATGCACATGCACATGCACATGGGTGCAGGCAAATGCACATGAGAGAAGGACACACATCCGCATGCGCATATGCACACGGACACACACGCATGCACGTGTGCATGCCCCTACATGTAGATTCACACACACACACTCACTCATTCACACAAGCACACATTCATGCGCACAGTTCCCCTGCTTCCCCCTCCCCCCCCCCCAGGCCTGTGCTCCGCACGTTCATAGAGGCCTTCCTCTGGCAGCTTGCGCTCCTCCAAACTACGCGCGCGCGTGCGCACACACACACACACACACACGCGCGCACACACACGCGTTTTTCCCTCCCACTCACCTTCCCCTGCCCTCCCTCCACCCCGCCCCCTCCTCTTCCCCCCCATCTCCTCCAGGCCTGTCCTCCGCACGTTCATTGAGGCCTTCCTCCCGCAGCTCGCGCTCATCCTCTTCCTCGCGCTCCTCCCCAACCTGCTCCTCCTCCTCTCGCTCTTTGAGGGCCTTTCCTCACGCTCGCACGCCATCCGAGCCGCCTCCGGAAAATACTTCTATTTCACCGTCCTGAACGTGTTCATCGGCACCACGCTCACATCCGGGCTCTTTCAGGCGATCAAGCAGATCGTGGACCATCCGACGGCTGTGGTTGACCTGCTGGGGTCGTCCCTCCCACAGGCCGCCACTTTCTTTATCTCCTACATCTCTCTGAAGTTTCTGGTCGGAGCGGGGTTAGAGCTCACCCGCCTCGTCCCTCTCGTACTGTTCCATGCTAATCGGTGGCTGCTATGCCGCACGCAGCCGGACTTGCGCGACGCGTGGAAGCCCGGGGAGCCGGATTATGTGAGCTTGCTCCCCGGGGATCTCCTAGTGGCCACACTTGCGCTCTGCTACGCGGTGATTTCTCCGCTCATCCTCCCCTTTGCAGCGGCGTATTTCCTCACGCAGTGGTTGATAATGAAGAATCAGCTCATGCAGGTGTACGTGAATGAGTTCGAGAGCCGGGGGCGGATCTTCCCGCATGCCTTAGCCCGCATTCTCGCCGCGCTCGTCCTCTCCCAGCTCACCTTAATTGGTTACTTCGGAGTTAAGCAGTTCCGCGCAACTCCCTTGCTCATTCCTCTCCTCTTCATCTCTCTAATCCACGCTGTCTACATGCACCGCCGCTTCCACCCGTCCTTCGCCCGCCCCTCGCTGCAGCAGGCGAGCCGGCTCGGCGCGCCGCCGGTGCCGCCTCCCCCAGAAGAGGACAAGATCAGGGAGGCTTATCTGCCGGAGGAGATGCGGAGCGTGCAGGGGCAGCGGGAGTGGGAGGAGGAGGTGTGCCGGGTGCTGCCTGGGGAGCCAATTCTGGAGCAGGGGAGGCTGCCACGTGGGAAGAAGGGATTGGGCAAGGAGGAGGAGGATTTGTGCTAAGGGAAGGAAAAAACGAGATGATCTTGGAAGGGGGTTGGAGGAAAGGGGGAGGGGGATGAGGTGGGAGAGGGAGGGGAACGGGAGAGGGGGGGAGGGGGGCGGGGGGGGCAGGGTGGGGAGGGGAGGAGAGGGGGTGGGGGGAGGGATGGGAGCTTACAAAGGGGTATTTGCTGTGAGCTCTTTGCTAGGAGCCAGGATATGGGAGAAGGATGCTGAGCTGGTCTTTAATTGACATGGTTTGAACATCATTTTCCGTTTCATCCAGACAATCATACAAGTTACAAATGTACCAAGAAGGTTTGCCCTCCACCAATCAGAGGGCCAAGAAAACTAGGCTAGGCTGTGCCACAGCAGAAAGCGTAGGCGAGCAGCTGCGTGCTGAAACTCGCCCTAGGGAACATTCACCCCGCGCGCGCGGGCAAGCAGCACCGCTGGTGCGCCCCAAGATACTTGAGCATCCGAGGGGACCAGGGGGCAAGGGGGTTGCGCCACAGCCTAAGCACTAAAAAAAGCCATAACGGCTCACCCTACAAGCTACACAGAAAACGTCTATTAACAGAAACACGCGAGAAAGGAGCGGTAAATGGCTGACGTTGCTGAGCAGAGTCCTCCTGCACGCGCAAGGGTAAGGTAAGGATTCCACGTGTCTCAGCTCCATTCCCATTGAGTCGAAAAAACCTGGTCAATGTATCAACGAGCTTCATTCCCTTGATCTTCAAAAAGTAGAGCTGTTACCACTGCTGCTGCTGCTGCTGCTGCTCTGGTAGCTGCAGATGAGGGTACCACAGCCACTACTGCAGCTGCTACTTCCTGCAGCTGTCCCCCCCTCCAGCTGTCTACCATTTGTTGGTCCTGATGCACCCCCCCAGCAGCAGCGGTGCAGCCGTCACCACCCTCCCCTAGGTGCTGCTGCCATTGTACGGAGCACCCGTGTGGAAATGGTCGCTGATGTGTCTCACACCGTTCACGTCATGCCCGTTCGCATGCCCGTTCACGTGCCCGTTTGCATGCCCGTTCGCATGCCCGTTCACATGCCCGTTCAGGTGCCCGCTCGCATGCCCGTTCAGTTGCCGATGCCCATTCACGTGACCATAACCATGGCCATTGACATGCTCGTGTCCGTTCATGTACCCATGGTGATGCGCACTGTGGTTGCTGCCGCCCATCACATACTCCGGAGGCACATACCCATTCATGTACACGTGCCCGTTCACATGCCCGTTCACCTGCCCGTTCATATGCCCGTTCACATGCCCGTTCACGTGCCCGACATCAGCAGCAGCAGCAGAAGCCGCCACAGCAGCAGCACCATGCCCCTGACCCTGAGAGCCGCCATGCGCGTTCTCCTGACCACCGTGCCCCTGCGCGCCACCGTGCTCCGACCCGTGGTGCAGGTGCAGCTTCGTCAGGAGAAACAGGCAGCCCGCAGCGAAGCACACACCCACGGAGAAGCACAGAAAGTCCATGGAGGTGGCAACCACCACCTTTTTGCTCTTCTCGAACGTGCCAACGAGCAGAATCATCACGATCACGTGCCCTAGCTTCGTCTTCATCTCGTCCAGCGAGCTCACTTCCAGCCACGACGGCCGCGACTGCAAACGGAACAGCCCGAACAGGTTCGACCCCAGGCTCCTGCGCGCTCCTCCTCCGCGCGCCCCGCGGCCCTTGCGCTGCTGCGACGGGTCCGCGCCCGCCGCCGACGACTTGCTGCCGCTGCCGTGCGCGCCGCGTGCGCCGTTTGCGCCGTCGCCGCCAGCTGCGGCTTCGACGTTGAAGTTATGGATGAACAGGTCGTACAGGCCCATGCCGAATATTAGCATGACCGTTCCGATCAGGTAGACGTCTGCGAGAGAGATAGGGAGAGAGAGGGAGAGGACAAAAAATCCAAGGAGAAGGGAAGAAGGAGATGGGTTCGGACGGCGGGAAAAGAACAACGGGAAAAAGGAGAAGAGAGAAAAAGGGGGAGACAACCAGACGAAAGAGGCCGAGGCGTCGGGGAGAGATGAGCAGAGACGGAGAGGCGAAACGCACCGACGGCTTCGACGAGCAGGAGAATGACGTTGCCGGAGCCGATGCCCCACCACGCAGAGGCGAACTCGACGAGCGACTCGAGCACGAAGAGGCAGCCCTTGACGAAGCAGATGGCGGAGCCCACGAGCGAGCCGATGACCGCGAGAAGCGTGAGGAAGCGGCAGTCGAAGATACGCTGCAGAGGGAGCGAGAGAGTGTCAATAAAGCCGGGGAGAGAGAGAAAGAGAGAGAGTGAGTTAGTAAGTAGTTAGTTAGGACGCCTTACTCCGAGAATATGGATTCCGGACCGAGACCCGAAATGTCGCCGGGCCTTGTCAGGAACTAAACGACTTGTTGTCGGAGACCCAGAAAGCCGAAAGCCGTGGCGAAAAAGCTCGGAGCTCATTATTGGGTTGGCAACTTACTCGCTCCACCGAGTTCTCGACGTTCTCGATGACCCGCTCCTTGTTATCCTCGTCGTCCGACGTCGTATACGCAGCCGCCGCACCGCCGCCGTCGGTGTCTCCCGCGTTGCCGGGGGTCCACGTCATCGTGCCGCTATACGCGCAGCTGCGGAGCGATGCGGTGGCGTCCGGTCGTCGTCGGCTCGACATGCCGCCGAGACGCGCCATGCCGAGGAGTGTATTCGTGAATGCACGGGGGTCCGTTGGTCTCATGGGCTCTGCTGGTCGTTGAGCTTCTAGTATTGCTGTCGCCGAGCGTTTCCCCGGAGGTATTTGCCGCGCTGCTACCGCTGCGCATCGCATCAGACCGCACTGGACGTGAATCCCGCTCACTGGGAGTAGCCGTTGGGAGGATGGTGCGAGCACGCTGGCGCTGCTGAGGGGGAGGGTGGAGAAGCAGGGTGAGGCGGCGTTGCCAACCGCCGCTGCAGCCGGTGCGTGGAGCATGGTTGGTGCTGTTGTAAGAGTATTCAAGACGGTGAGTAGGTTCCGAGGGTATTCACTCGATAGTTTAGGTGCTTAAAACAGACTGAGGGGAATGATGCCTTGCTTTCGGAAGTCGTGCTAGGGAACAAGGAATGGAGGAGCTGCTGTTTCGGAAGCAGGCGACGGAATGGGATGGGAGTGACGCTGAATTGAGGACTAATGAGCGCGAGGGAATGCAGAAAACAATGCAATGCAATGCCAGAATGCGACACATCAGTCAGTCGGCGCAGCGCTAAAATGTTCAGGGGTGTGTGCGGAACGGAGGTGCGCAGTGCGGTTCGGTTCGGCATCTGAAACTGAAAGCTCCTCCCAAACCGCTAATTACTGCGACTGGTTGTTGGGAGGGGAGGGGACCACAGGTGAGGTGAGCTGACCGCACCTCCGGGCTGGACCTGAGCCGAGGCGCGGTGAACCAGCCGGGGCTCAGGTCTGGGAGTAGGTATGGTGCCCTGACCTCCCTGTTGCCACAAGCAATTGTTTCGACTGCGCTGACTCTGACCGGCTCGTTCCTCCCAGCCGAGAGTTGTATTTGCTGCGGGGGTAGACTAGGTCAGCACCTCGCCACGTGGCTATGAAAGATTCACATCTCGTGGTTGGTCTGATGGTGTGTGCCCAAATACTGGCAATGGTTCGCTGAAAAAAGATACACCTTTCTCCTCTATTGTCCCACCCAGAACAGTCCAAATTGCAATCTCACCTACCAGGTTCTCAGCATGACTCGCGTTGACACTGAACCTGATTGGCTGCAGTCTGAACGATAGCGAACTACCAAATCGTATTTCGACAATTGCGAGTTTCAGAGCTGGGACGTCGCGCAGGCAATTAATATAGTGCATGAGCGAGATTTTGTAACCAAGTATCATTTCTTACTGTGGGATTTCCCCTTCTAAGTCCCGTTTGCCCGTGTTTTACAATTTCCTGCTTACAGGCTCAAGTCGCGTGCAAAAAGCGTAACACTAGATATAAAAACAGGTGTACAAAGGTGCAGAAGTCATAAGTTTGGCTACACTCAATCAGGGAAATGAGAATGAAAATAACCGTGGCCGATCCTCTTCATCCAGCAACGCAAGGATTCTAAGCCCAAGCCAGTCTCTGGCCACAATAATCCCCCTGGTTCCGTCGCGCTGGAGAGGGGCTTGCGTGGCACACGTGGGTGTGCGATGGCACACTCGAGCCCCTGACAGCGAATGAAAGTTTCAGTACAGTTATGTACTGTAGAGGCAGTCGTGCCACGCTGGCAGGTAACAACCAACGCTGGTAAGATCTGCCCAGGTGGTTTTTGAAAAAAGTGTGTGTGCTTGCTGACTTGCCCTCCAAAAGTCGAACCACCCACCAGTCAGGTGAGGGGAGGAGAGGAGCCATGAGTGTACTGTTCAAACACAAAGTTATATTCAATCTCCGAGAATAGTTAGGCCGTACAGAATAACGAGTCGACCTCAAAACGGCGTACGTCTTAGGGCTGAGCGCGGTACTGCGTATTGATTATCTTAGGTTTGTCTACTGCTGACCCCAGCAGTACCCTTCCACTAGCTCCACCACCCAGCGAAGCAGCTCCTTGCCAGTCCCGTCTGCCAGCAGCCGATTCAGGTTTCCAGTAAGCGTTTCCTGCATATCCACACTGCCGTATCGCTGCTGTTAGTGGACCAACTCGCGGTTTCGTTCTCGACCGACGTCCCGATTGCCTCGCGTTCTCTACCGCGTCTTTTCTAGAGTAGTTTCACGACGCTCTAGCAGCAGTACCCTTCTCCCCCGCATTGACACGCCATGGCGAAACGAGAGCTGTCGGGCCGCCTGCAGCAAATGAAGGTGAGCGGTGAGCGTCTTGTGGCTCCTCAAAAAAGGTGAGCAAAGAGCATTGAGCGTTTTGTGGCGATCGCTGGAAATCGTACGAATGAGGAGGGCTCGGGATGAATGTGGTTCGCGACAAGGCGAGCTGGCGAAAGTTGTTATCGTACGAAGGAGGAGGAGAAGGCCACGCAGTCGTCGCTGACCAGATCGGACGGCTGAGGTTTTACGCGTTCCTGAGTGTCCACAAGGCTCCATATTCCTGAAATCGCCCTCGCGACGCCTCCTTCCATGCTTCCGGCCTCTCTCGCTCTCTTCTCTCTCTCTCTCTCTCTCTCTCTCTCTCTCTCTCTCTCTCTCTCTCTCTCTCTCTCTCTCTTCTCTCTCTCTCTCTCTCTCTCTCTCTCTCTCTCTCCTTCGCTCTCTCTCTCTCTCTCTCTCTCACTCTCTCTCTCTCTCTCTCTCTCTCTCTCGCTCTCTCTCTCTCTCTCGCTCTCTCTCTCTCTCTCTCTCTCTCTCTCTCTCTCTCTCTCTCTCGCTCTCTCTCTCTCTCTCGCTCTCTCTCTCTCTCTCTCTCTCTCTCTCTCTCTCTCTCTCTCTCTCTCTCTCTCTCTCTCTCTCTCCTGTCAGTTCATGCAACGAGGCAAGCCCAAGGAGTCTCCAGCCACGTCCGCGGGCCCTGGAGCAACGACAGGAGCATCGGGATCAGCAGCATTCAGAGGAAACGTCCAGACGCACGCGGCGGCCGCGGCTGCTAACAAGGCCGCGGAGGAGGAGCGGTGGTTTGCCCCTGCTGCCGCCGCTGCTGCTGCTGTTTCAAGGGGGCGCACGGGGACAGGCGGAGGGCAGCGAGTAACATGGTGCGAGAGAGACCTGGTAACAAGGGAGCAGACCTGCAGTTGGACGCACTCACTCAGTCAGGCAGCAACAGTCAGATGACATGGGAATGGCAGTCACTTGGTTGTGGCTAAATACAAGCATTGGGAATGGCAGGGTGTCTCACGCCATGAGGGTGTCAGGGCATCCGTCGTGCCTCTGCTGCTGGCGTGCCTCAGCTCGAAGATTCCCCCCTCTCATCACACTCCACAGAGAACCGAACCTGTCTCTTTCCCCAGTCATCCACCTTACCTCCTCCGTTTCCCTCCCCCGTGTGTCTCGCCCCCATCCCCTCCCCCCCAACCAGTCGAGTGGTGGTGGAGGGTCAGCCGGACCCAGGGCGGCGCATGGGGCGCATGTCCTTCGGCAACTTCAATAAGGACGTGGAGGTGGGTGGCGGGGGGGTAAAGGTGGGCGGTGGGGGGTTAGTGAGGTGTGGGGAGGGTGTGGAGGTGAGGGGGGTGGGGGGGGGGTGGGGGGGGGTTAGACGTGGGTGCGTGGGTGGGGGGTGGGGGGGGTTAGACGTGGGTGCGTGGGTGGGGGGAGGCCAAGAGAGGAGATAGTACCACCGTGCGCAAGGACAAGTGAGGAATCGGCACACACAGCGTGTCGTTCGGGCAACTGCAATAAGGACGTGGGAGATAGGTACATACAGGGGGGGGCAGGGGGCAAGAGTTTCGTGACGTGTCTTATGTGTGAATGGGCCCAACTAGCACCTCACTTTTTACCTACTCTCCTCGCCCCTCTCCCCTCCCTCTTGGCCCCACGCCTGCTCTCTCGTGCTCTCTCATACTCTCTTTGTCTCGCTCCTCGTTCCCAGCAGCACGCACCCCTTCTCCTTTCTCCTGCTTCACCCGTCCCTTCACTTGCTCTGTGTGTGCGTATCGTACACCCTTGGTTCTAGTGTTATGCGTTCTTATCCTGCCCGAGCATGCCAGAGGAAGGGCGGCGAGCAGGAATTGACTTCTGAGTCGACTCAAAAGTCGCTCCGCCACTTCTCTTGCTGTGCCTGACTCAATAGTGTATCTAATTTTCGTCTTTTGCGTTCTTATCGTGCCAGAACATGGCCGAGGAAGGGCAGGGAGCAACAAGTGACTTTCGCGCCGGACTAAAGGCACTCTCCAGTTTCTCGTGTCGTGCGTTCTCTTATCGTGCCAGAACATGGAAGAGGAAGCTATTTTTGAGGCGCCTAATTTTTTTTTCTCGTGTTACGCGTTCTCTTATGATGCCAGAACATGGAAGAGGAAGGGCAGGGAGCAGCAGGAAACGAGGCACACGAGAGGTCACAATCGGCAGCAGCTGCAGCAGCCGTTGCCAGGGCGATGGACACAGGAGGAGCAAGGTATGGTAGGGGCATCAGTGCCGTAGTGCCGTAGTGCCGTTACTCTCACCGCGAGTACCTCCTGTTTCCTGCCTGGAATTCTCTCCAGTGTGTGAGCCAACATTCATCGCATCCATATTCCCATCCCCGCCTGTATGCTCTCATGCCCATGTGTGTTCGTACCTTGATTTAGAGACCTTCTTGCCCCCCCTTGGTTCGCCCCTTGCCTTTCCCCCTTGAGTTTGTGACTTGGGTTTCGCCTCTTGCTTTCGCTCCCCTCAATCCTCAGACCCTGCCAAGCCGAAGCCATTTTATAGAAGTGTAGTTTTGAGACGTCTCAAACTACACTTTTTATCACAGTTGGCTTTCCCCCTTAAGTTTGAGGCCTGCGTTTCGCCCCTTGCTTTCACTCCCGTCAATCCTCAGACCCGCCAAGTCGAAGCCACTGAAGCTGCTTACCGGCGGCAGTGAAATTGGCGGGGGTGGCAGTGGTAAAGCTGCTCCCTTTGCTGGAGGAGGAGGAGGGGGGGGAGGAGGAGGCGGAGGGGGCGGAGGGGGCGGAGGGGGAGGAGGGGGAGGAGGGGGTTCTAATAGATCCTCCCTGGCAGGAAACAAGCGGCCTCGTGCCGCTGCTGCGGCGGCCGCAGCAGCAGGTTTTGATGGTAGTGGTGGTAACGTCGGCAGTGGTGGCGTGAGTATAAGCGCAGGATCGGGTGGGGGGGGGGATGCGACTGGTTTCTCGACTCCCCCTGTGGTTCTGAGCAGCGTAGCAGCCAAGGAGGAGAAGAGCCATGTGAAAGAGGGGTGGAGGAAACGCAAGCCCACAGGAAACAGCTGAGAGGGGACGTGTTGAGTCTATTTGTGAGGCGCCTCAAAAACTAGGCTTTTACTATCGCGAGGGGAGAAGGTAATGGAGTCCCTCAGGAAGCATCTGCATGAGGGAGGGTGATGAAAAGGCACCAGTCGAGACCGTTACGGGTGGTGCAACGACACGGGTGGTGGATTAGAGAAACTACTAACCATCAAGGGTTATTGGAGCACCCGGTCCGGTGCAGTGCTGCTGCTGCCCTTCGATACCTGTAGATGTTATTGGGCTGAGAAAAAGCCCTTAGGATCTTTTTGCAGAGACTAAGTCCCAGCTGTAGAGACTTTGAGACTTTGAATAGTGCAGCGGAAGTTGAGGTAGTTGAACCCTTGTACTAGTATGTGAGAACAAGTGATTGATTAAAGAAACAAGCATACAGCAATATATAGAAGATAGGAAGGCAGTTGTAGAATACAGTTACAGGAACGGTTTATCGAGTCGCACAGCGACTCGATTGCCGCTTCGGTTACCATCCGTGATGTTGTAACGGTCAGTCGCAACTTCCAGTTGCGACCTTTCGAGTCTTTTCGCATTCTTTGTCCGCCCCCTCGTGTAACCTCCGTTGACTCGCGTGCTCCCCTGTAATCTTCCTCGAGTACAGTGTTACACTTCAGAAACGCTCAAGTCCTTTGAGATATTTCCAACACTCCCCTTCGTTTCTGGAGTGCTGGAATGTTCAGATCCGGTGACGTTTGTTTGCCCGGTCAGGAGCATGCAGTAGTCGAATTTTGCTTTCGCCAATTTCTTCGTCAGATAATCTGCGGCCATTTCTGTCGTTGGGCAGTAACTGAGTTGAGGTCTCCCCTTCGCGATTTCATCCTTGACGAAGAAGTACCGCAGGGCGATGTGCTTGGTTCGGTTGGCGAAGCCGTCCTTGTTCGCGATTTTGATCGCAGATTGGTTGTCGCAGAGGAGTGAGAAGGCGGGCAGGGTCGCAATCTTCGCTTCCTCGAATAACTCCCGTAGGTAGAGTCCTTCCTTGGTCGCAGTACAAAGGGCGATATACTCTGCTTCAGCCGAGGATAGTGCGATTAACTCCTGCTTGCTCGACTGCCAGGAGATAGTTCCGATGGGTTCTAGTCGGTAGATATAGCCCGTCCTAGATCGTCGATTTTCCCTATCTCCCGCGTGGTCGGCGTCGACGTATCCGAGTATTCGTACGGACGGTGTTGTCGCTTTGCTGTAGGTAAGTCCGATCGTCGGCGTGGAGACGAAGTAGAGTAGTGCCCGGTTGAGCTCCTCGAGATCTTCCTGTTCCGGTTGCTTCAGATGCGTCGCCAGTTGACTCGCACTATAGGACAGGTCGGGTCGGCAGGTTACTGCTGCGAACAGTAGGCAGCCGAGCTTCTGTTGATACTCCTGGATTTGCTTCGCGGGGAGTTTTGCGGAGGTGCTGTTGTTGTTCCCGTAGCGGTAGGGAGTTGGGACCGTAGTCGGTGTTAGACCGAATTTCTTCGCGACGGTGCCTGAGTACTTTCCAGCGTGTAGGTAGAACGCCGTGTCGTCTTCGACGACATTCAGTCCTAGGTACTGGGTCACTTCGTCGGACACCGTGAGTGTTAAGTCTTCTTTCAGCTCCCCTTCGAACCAGGTAGCGATGTCGGTAGTGGAGCCGGTGTAGAGCAGGTCGTCGACGTAGACGATGAGTAGGATATACTCTCTTCCCTTCTGCAGTCGATACATCCCTTGGTCATGCGGCAGTTGTAGGAATCCGATTTTTGCGAGACGACCGTGGAGATGCTGCTGCCAGAGCCGCGGGGCTTGCTTGATCCCGTATAGGGATTTTGTCAGTTGGCATATTTTCGTGGGGTCGTTGATGAATCCGTGGGGTTGTTCGACGAAAATCTCAGCGTCCACAGGTGCGTATAGGAACGCATTTGCGACGTCGATTTGGCGTAGTGGTAATGTCTTCGTGGCCGCGACGGCGAGTAGGATGCGTAATGAGGTGTGACGGGAGACTGGAGCGAAGGTTTCTGTGTAGTCGGTCCCGTATCGTTGATCGAAGCCTCGTACGACCCATCGAGCTTTGAATCGTTCGATGGAGCCGTCTGAGTTGGTCTTAATGCGGTACACCCATTTCCCCGAGAGGACGTTTTTTCCGTTGATGCTTGTTGCAGGTACCAGTTTCCATGTTTTCCGGTCTTGCAGAGCCTTTAACTCCTTTTCCATCGCTTCCTTCCATTTCGCCTTATGTTCCCCCCCCAGAGCCTGCGACAAGGTTGAAGGCTCTCGCGGAGAAGGCCGCGGCGGATGCTGGACGGAGACCCAGAGGCCTAGAATCTGCAGTCCCGTGGGTGTGTGTCGAGGGGAATTTTCATTCCCGGAATAAGCTGCTTCGTCACCGTCTTCTGGGTCACGTAAGAAGTTGGGACCGATGCGTTCTGAAACATTTGTGTCGACTGGGTGGGGTGTAATGTAACCTTGGTCAGCGAAGTGGTAAAAGGTGTCGAGGTTGTTGCTATCGAGAGGATTGTCTTCGTCGAGTGGAACAGGTACGGAACAGAATGGGAGTGGTCCGGCAGTTTCCGAGGCTTCAGGTACGTCTTCTTCTGCTGCGTCAGCTTCGGCAGCACGGTCGGCGAAGGAACGAAGTCCCGAGAAGCCGTCGGTGGGGTCTTGTGTGTTGGCAATGTTGTCCAGGTAATGCTGCAGCGTCAGTCGCTCGTAGAAAATAACATCACGTGATGCCACGGTATTTTTGTCTTGTATGTCGAGAATTTTCCATGCGTGAAAATGTTTTGCGATGCCGAGGTGTAGTCCCCACCTAGCTCGTTGTGTGAAGCGTCCTGCTCGGGCTGTGTGGGGTCTGTACTGTACCATGCAGCCGAAAACTCGGAGTAATTTTGTGCTGCCCCTTTTTCTTGTCCACAACAGGTGCGGTGATGCGTTGTTGGGAAGTGATGACGAGGACAGCAGGTTGTGCAGGTGAACGGCATGTGTCATCGCGTCTGGCCACAGTGTGGTGGGCAGCCTCATCCCCAAAAGCAGTTTTCGCATCGTCGTCTGCAAGGTCCGGTTCATGCGTTCTGCTACCCCCTGCTGCTGGTGAGCATAGGGCAGAGACACCAGGCGTCGGATTCCTCTTTCCGCCAGATAGGTCCTGAAGCGTTGTGACTGGTATTCCAGTGCACCGTCTGACTGGAAGCTCTTGAGCTTGGTTCCTGATTCTCGTTCGGCGATGGGAAGCCATGTGGTGAAGGCCTCGAAGGCTTGATCGCGCGTTTTGAGATTGAAGTGCCAACGTATCTGGTTGCTGCGTCGATGAACGTGATGACGTAGTTGAAGTCGGCTTCGGTGTCTTCTCGAGGCATGTTTAAAATGTCGCTGTAGACCTTTTCCATCGGAGCATAAGTAGGTGCGCTTGGGTTGTGATGAGATGGGAAAGGTTGATGAGGAAGATCTGCTTCGGGGCACGTGAAGCACCGTGCTCGTGGTCGTCGAAGTTCTTGGCCGCTCGTCGTTAGAAGGGCGTTGCGTTCTAACACCTCTGCTTGGATTGTTTGTAGTATCGTGCTGTTTGCAGGATGTCCGAGACGTTGGTGCCAGATGTCGTCGGGAAGCGCGGTGACCGGGCGAGCGGTGGTAGATGTCGGCGTTGGAGAAGAACGCGACGTCTGAGGCGGGACTTCGACAAGCTTCTCGTGTGATGGGCATAGTTGGTCTGCTTCGGTTGGTGGTCCTCGTGTCGCTGGTGGTGGTACTCGGCTGGGTCCTGCTGCCGATACTGCAGGTGATGGTTTGTTAGGGACACTGCGGGTACTTGTCTTTCTTGTCTGATAACTGCTAATGCTCGTGTTCTCTCTGCTGCAGGTATGGTGTTGGAGTGCCAGAAGCCGTCACTGTCGAAGTCGGGATCAAGATCCGGCGGGTGAGTCCAGGCGGCGAACGATACGATACCGTCGCTGTCGGCAGTACCGCGGTCGGGGACGAAGTCCAACACGAAGACGCCGGACTTCAGGAGGGCACGACCGATGAAGAGGCCGCCCTTCCCGTGGTAAAGTCCGAAACTCGTTGGAGTAGGAGTCGCACTCCAGGTGAATCCCCTTGGCCATTAGTTGGCTTACGCTTAGTAGGTTGTATCCCAGATTGTCGACAATGAGCACTTTGTTGAGCTGAAGTATGACGTTTGTCTCCATCGATTGTAACTGAACCACGCCTTGTCTGTTTGTCTTCAGGTTTTCGTTGTTGGCGACGGTGATGACGACGTCGCGGTTGAGGCGTTTCTCCTGTTGCACGAAGCGTCCCGAGGAGCACATGTGTTGACCGCAGCAGCTGTCCAAGAACGAGGTGTTTCGCCCGGTGGGTTCGGCGTTGGCGACCGCAGCATATGTTGGATTGACTTGAAGGCCTTGTGAGCGCGGTGGCGGCAGCTCTTCTTCGTCTGGCGCGTAGGTGGATGGTGATCCGGGTGCGCAGTTGTCGATGTGTACCATGCAATTGATGATGTTTGGTGTTTGTTGTGCAGATGTTGAAGAGCGCCTTGGGGGACTTGCTTGAGTGGAAGCGACTTGTGGGTCTGCTGGACGGTAAACGCGAGGGCGGTTGCAGTTGACCTTGGAGTGCCCGGAAGTCTGGCAGTTGTGGCAGAACGGCGGCACGAAGGTAAGTCCCCTGTTGTCGCGTTCTTGCTTGCCGCGTCGATTGTAGGTGTTGTCGTTTCTTCGTTGAGTGTAGAAGACTAACTGCTGTTGCTTTCTTGGTTGTCTTTCCTCGAACAGATCCATCTCCTGTTGTTCAGCGTGAAGCTCGGCGCAGAGGTGCATCTCCGAAATTCTTCCGTGGGCTCGAAGAAGTGATCGTGTGGTTCTCCATTCTGGCCCGAGCCCGGCGAGGACAAGTGTCACGAAGCTTTCTTCAGTGATCGTTCCTCCGCACCGAAGCAGGCGGTCGCGGAGGGTCTGGCAGCGACTCATATACTGCATCGCCTTTTCCCCGGTCTTCATCTGTATTGTTGTCAGCTGTTGCATGAGTCTGCTTTGTGTCACGCTGTCGTTTGCTTGATAGAGGCACTTGAGATGATGCCATGCGAGTTCCGCGGAGTTTCCATAACTTCGATACGTTCTGATGCTCTGCTGCTCTTGTGGTGACAGGTTTCTCAGGAGTACGTATACGCCAGCAGCGACTGATACGTGAAGATTTCTTGTTCCTTCCCAGTGCCGTTGCTTGGGAATGGCAGGGACCCGTTGAAGTATCCCAGAAGATGCGCGGCCTCCATCAGCAGCTCGAACTCGAAGCTCCAGGTAAAGAAGTCGTGTCCGTTGAACGGTGAGGATGTCTGAAGTTTAATTACGTGTGAGAACTGTGCCTGAAGACTTAAGATTTCGTTCGGTGTTTGTTGTGATGCAGCTGCTGTTGGCTG